AAATCCACTTGTTCCTAAAGGTGTGCTGTTAACCAAGAACAAATATGAAAAGTATGACAGTTTTCAAGATTTATCAAGTCTATTGATGATTATAATCCCATCCTGCTAACACAGACATGTCAAACACAAGGCCCAGGAGCCGGATACGGCCTGCGGCCTTCATGTGGCCCGCGAAGCCATCCTGGAAACAGTGAGGGAACGGCCCCCTCTGCCTTGGCCCTGGCCAAGGCCAACTGGGAGCCAATGTGCAATTTTGTGGTGGCCATCTATGCTGAAACGCATTCAGTCTTAGCTCCATAAGCCCCCCCCCCGGCATGGCCTAAGAGGAACAGCGAGGCTCCTCCAGTGGACCATGCCTTGGCACTTGCCCTGGTCCCATCCCCTTCTGCCAGAGACCCTCAGATCTGTCCCACTCCTGCCCAGGCTCCCACAGGCACCCTTGACGTGAATGATGTAGAGCTGGCCATGCCCACCCAGAAGGCCACACCTACTCCATCCACACCCACCCAGAAGACCATACCCACTCCATCTATGGCCACCCAGTAGGCTGCACCCACCCTGGCTACATCCACCCGGCCCCAAGGGCAACCGCAATGCTGATGCGGCCCTCAATGAAATTGAGTTTGACACCCCTGTGCTAACACATATGAATACATGATACTGCATGAAAAGAGATAAAACTGATTTTAACTATAAAATCACCATATATTTTAACCATCTTGGAAGGAAATTCAGAGTCTTGGGGATTCAGTTAGTATCCATCCTTCAATCCATAGGGAAAGGAGAATACTGCAAGTGATTCATGATGCTAATGGAGACGTTTAATTTTGGGTTCCTGGTCCGAGTTAATTAGGTGAAAGACTGCTGGAAATGAGAACCATATAGCTAGTTTGGCTAGGAGAGACATTTCCAAGAATTTACTTAATATTATAAAATATTGTAACACTAAGCAATTTAAATAACAACAAATGCAATGCTAAATCTGAATACTTCTATATTATTATGACAAAGATTCTTTGGAAAAGTTAAAAAGCTGCATCAAAGTTGAATTTTTTTTTCAAAAACAAGATTTAGAAAAAATGGTAATTTTAGATGATCTTTTTGAACAATCAATATTATTTCATTCTTGTTTTTAAACAACCCATCAACTGAATTGTAGCTATATTCTCCACATATTCCACTAAGTGATGTTTATAGACAAATCAAGAGTTTCAGAAGAAGACTTAGTGATGGCAATAGGAATTACTATATTTTTCCGTCTATAAAACACACCCTTGTATAAGACGCTCTGGTATGTGAGTTTCTCTGCGCTGAGCTGAGCCGGCAAATCCAGAAGTTTGGCCGGCCGCCAATCTTGCCCCCTTCCCCACCCCATTAGTGGCAAGCCCACAGGGGCTTGACACCTGCACCAGGCAGCATGGCAACCCACACAGGCATGCCCTGGGCTGCAGAGGTTACCATTATTTTTCCATGTATAAGACACTGCACTTGTATAAGACACACCTGATTTTTGAACAGGGTGCTTGCAGGAAAAAATAGCATTTTATACATGGAAAAATATGGTACTCCTCGACAGCAGTGTTTCTCAACCTGAGCAACTTTTAAGATGTGGACCTCAACTACCAGAATTCTCCTGGCATTTTATAGTTACCGAGATTCAGAACGACTGCTTTATAGGAACATATTTCCCATTATTTACCAAGGAATGTTATTTGTTTTTATTTGCCCAAAGTCACCCAGCTGGCTTTCATGCCTAAGGCAGGACTAGAACACCTAGTGTTCTGGTTTCTAGCTTGATGCCTTAACCACTAGATCAAATTGGTCAAAAATCCTAATGGTTCTCACTTGGTTGCACCAACAGCTATCATTTCACTCTATCTGGGCCTAAGTTTAACCCTGATAAAAGACAACTGAGAATATATTTAAAGTAGCTGAAAGTAGCATTCCAGATACTGGACACAAAATGGGTTTCTGTTATAGCAAGGGAGATTCTAATGGAATCTTTCTTCTAAGAAAACTTGCTACAGAGCAATCTGACAGAATCTGACAGAAACAATTAGAGATGTGGTGGGCTCCTCTGTATTGGGATGTGCTTAGGCAGAAGAAAGAGAGCCATCTCTTTTGGGTGCTTTAAATTTAGGTTCCTTTAATGGACTCAGTACTGTAGTTTAAATTGCCTCCTCCAACCCTTGATTCTACCCAAGCTTCACACTACAAATGCAGCAGTTGACTTTAATTGCTATGTAAACATAATGGAGCTTTTGCTTAAGCTAGTACTCTTGGGCTGGGTATTTCTTGGTTCATCGGAGTCTATAAAGAAACCAAGTAGTTCTGCAACTTCCATGCAATTGCATCTTCCAAGCTGCTAGTAGTATGAGTGAGGACTCATACTATTCTACTCCAGCATTGTCTCTAATCACCTATAGTGTGTCCATGCATAGCTGCCTCATGATATATCTCTTGCCCCCTGGAAAAGTGACAGCAAGCTACAAGGCAGTCTCTACTGCCTGTTTTTATAAACACCCAGGGACTAAAAGTGGCTTTTGAATCTCAAAGCAAATTTTAAAACATGTAATTAATTGATATAGAGAGAAAAAAAACCCAAGATATTTGGTTTGTCTGGAAATGTCCCATATCTCTGTGCATGTGCTCTGGTCATGTTTTGGTGCTTTTTAAAACACTATCAGCTTAAGCCAATTTGCTGGACACCTGCCTTCTCATCTAGCAGACAGTATTGGACCGAGCATCTGGAGTCTTGCTGGGAAGAAGTGACGTGAGGAGTGGCCATTTCAAAGGAATAACAGGAAGTATTTTTGCTACTGGAATCACAAGTCACAGAGAGTTTAAAAAATGTTTCAAGAGCCCTAATTTCTGACTAGAGAATTTTTAATTCCTTACAGACATGTCAAACGGTTTTGCCATTGCCGGCAATGGGGTAGGTGCGGTTCTGGATGATGCATCCGACCCGTGGGCCGGCAGTTTGACACCCCTGCCTTAGAAGAAGCTATATTCAGGGCAAAAATGCAAACTGTAAATGGAAAATGGAGAAAACTTAATGAGCGGAGGGTGCATGGTGCATTTGGGAACAGGAGACTGATTGTGTCATTATGTCCAGTTTACTCAGTTATAAATTCTAAGTCTTTTCTGTCTTTATCAAAGGCCAGCCTATTTGAATGATCTCTTCCAGTTCAGAACGTTCTTACACTGTGCTTGCCATTAAAACAGAACAAGGAGATTGCCTGCACTATCAGCCCATGCAAATGTAAATAACTTATTTTTGTGAGGGGGATACAAAAATCACAGCCTGGGGCATTTATAGCCCAACCTACCAAAAGCATAACTGTATTGTACTGTAAAAGACAGATTAGAAATAAAAATTTAAACAAAATGGTAAGAGAACACTTATTACTTCCCAGAGTTTTGAAGGAACTGGCAGAAGTTATCTCAGAATCATTGTATCATATCTTTCAAAAATCCTGGAACACTGGGGAATTACCTGAGAATTGGAAAAGAGATGGAATTGGAAACTTTCTTTCCAACTCGCACAACCTGGGGCCTATCAATAAGGAAATCAAGTATCCAATTACATAAAGGAGTATTAAAATCTAATTGGCCCAGTTTGTTCACCAGATGCTGAGGGATGATTGTGTTGAATGCTGAACTAAAATCCACAAACAGCATTTGCACAAGTGTTCTTCCCCTCCAGATGCATCAAGCTAAGATGAAGCACACAGGAAAGTGCATCTTCTACAGAGCAGTTCTGCATGTTTCCACGGTTTTACACATAGGCAGGAAAAACCAAAGGTACAAGTAAAGATTAGGCAAAACCTGGCTCAAAACCGTAACTGTGAGAGGGACCTTGGAGTTCTACTGGATGATCACTTAAACATGAGCCAGCATGCGTGGCAGCAGCCAAAAAAGTTAATACAATCCTTGGTTGCATAAACAGAGGCATAGAATTAAAATCACATGAAGTATTAGTACCACTTTATAAAGCCTTAGTAAAACCACTCCTGGAATATTGCATCCAGTTTACAAAATATTGCATCCAGTTTACATTACAAAAAAAGACATTGAGACTTTGGAAAAAGTGCAAAGAAGAGCAACTAAGATGATTAAGGACCTGGAGTTAAAAAACATATGAATAGTTACAGGAATTGGGCATGGTTAGTCTAGAGAAAAGGACTAGAAGTGACATGATCGCAGTATTCCAGTATTTGAGGGGCTGTTGCAAAGAAGATGGGGTCAACTTATTTCCAAAGCACCAAAAGGCAGGACAAGAAACGATGGAAGAGAAGTAACCTAGAACTAAGGAGAAATTTCTTAATAGTGAGGACAATTAACCAGTGAAACAGCTTGCTTTCAGAAGTTGTGGGTGCTTCATCACTGAAGTTTTTTTAAAAAAAAGATTGGACAGCCACCTATCTGAAAGCAGGGCTTTTTTTCTCATAGAATGGCCAGAATGGAGTTCCGGTACCATTTTTTGGATGGAACCTTGTAGGGTAGGCAAGGCAGGTTGTATGACATGTGTGAGTTCCGGCACTTTTTTTTTTTTTTTAGAAAAAAAGCACTGTCTGAAAGGATATAGGATCTCCTGCTTCACCAGGGGGTTGGACTAGAAGACCTTCAAGGTCTCTTCCAGCTTTAGTCTGATTGATTGATTGATTGATTGATCTCTTCCAATTTAGAACGTTCTTATACTGTGCTTGCCATTAAAACAGAACATGGAGATTGCCTGCACTATCAACCCATGCAAACGCAAACAACTTATTTTTAGTAAGGGGAATACAAAAATCGCTGATATTTACAGCCTGGGGCGTTTAAAGCGTCTTTTGTATTTTTTTCTAACTTCATGATCGGTCCTCTTGAAACAATTGCAGCGAAACCCCATAACGAACACTCTATTCATTCGTAGTTCTACTCGGGTTGTGAGGTGCGTAAATTCTTTCCTCCGCCCCTCCGTTTCTTTCTACCAATAGACGCTTCAGAAATATTGCGCGTCATCTCTTGCTGCCTTGAGGTCGGTAGAGCCACGTGCCTGCCCGAACTGGGATCATTCAAAGCCAGGAAGCCGGGACAAAAGTTTAAGTATACGTGAAGTTGGGAAGTATATACCCGGTATCTGTGGTGCCTCCGGCGGCAGATTTTGTGAGGTGCGGGCAGGGATTGGATGTTTTCCTTTGCTTAGAAAAGGCGAGTGTGCGCATAAAAAGGCATTCTAGTTGGTATGTTCCGGTGAAATGTATTAAAATAAGAATAACGTGAGATGCTTCTTTTTTTTTTTTAAAGGCCTGTTTGTGGGTCCTTGGTGCTGTCGGGGCTTGGCTATTTTCTTCCTGATGTTTCACTACCCAGCTAGGTACTTAATTAATTACCTAATTAATAACCAAACTCCTAGACCTAGAGCACCAAGGACCCCAGTAGTTCTACTCTAAGTTACAAATAGTCTCTTCTCTTAGTAAAGCTTGTTTGAGAGCATGCAAAGCAGAGCTGACTTACTGAGGCAAGCCGATGGAGCATCAGTGACCGGGTCGGTCAGATAATTCATATCATAGTTGTCTTTTCTTATGGTAATTTATTTTCTAATAAACACATAAATATTCCCAAGTAAATACACATACCATCAACTCACTTCCTGAGAACAAGAATAACACTTTCTCTTTATGTATGGAGTCATGATAATAGTGCTGTTTAAGTACATTTAATGTATGGAAAGTGCAGACACTCGGAATATTTGCACTAGTGTAACTATTAGATAAATGTAAACCGCACAGCATGGAGTTACAGATAGAAGTATTTCATAAAATCCTAGAGTTGGAAGGAGATTTGAGTCATTGTAACAAATGACGTACTCAGTGAAGAATCCGGACTGAACTGTTTGACCTTTGCTTGGGTCCTCGTTGGTTGTGCTCATTAGTTCCACTGTCCACTGTCATTTTTACTATTCCAACAATAGTATATTCCAACAACCTATATGAAGTAATATATGGCCTTCTGAAAAAAAGAGAGACAGCTTTTTACAGGCCATTATGATATTTGGATCATCTAATATTTCTTCACTGCAGCACTGTAGAGAATGGTACTCATAATGCACTGTTGGGCAGAACTTGTGCTCCAATATATTTTTCACTTCTCTATACTATAGAAGCTGTGTTAGGTGACATGGCAACCTTTTGGAGAGCCTACCAGAGATTGATGGCCCAGCACCCCTGGAAGGTGCAAATCATCACAGCTGGTAAGAGGAGCTAAGGCACATTAGCCCTGGGAAAGGAACAGGGCACTTCCCTACTTCTCTGGCTGCTTGCTGTCTTCCTTTGTTCCTCTGGTTATTCACTACTGCGTGTTGATCACAGCCACTTCCTTTCGTGGCAGTTCTCATAGCAAGAATCTAACATACATAAATGTCCCTCCAGTGTATCAACTTAAAGATTCATATACTTCTGTCTTCTAGAGAGTGGCAGCAGCACAAACAATACCTTTGTTAGTTTTTACATTTATATTCAGTTTTGGAATGTCTTTCTTACTAACTGAGTTACAGAAGACAAATAATGTCTATGGAGATTTTCAGTCATCCAGGTCATGGTTGTTCCAAAAGTGCCTTTTTTGAAAAGGCAACCAGATTTTGTTTTTTTCCTTGAAGAGGTTTCAATTCTCATCCAAGAAGCTTCTTCAGTGAAATGTCTTCAAGGAAAAAACAAAGTCCAGTTGCCTTTTGAAAAAAAGCATAAGAAAGGCATGTAATCACATCATATATTTAATCATTATGTCAGTAACTGGAGATCACAATGCTGTCATAATAGGCAAATACAGTCCTTAAAATAGTAAGCCAATAAAATGAACAATTTTCAAAATTCATCTAATGATGACTACCAAATTGTGGAGAGCCAATAAAAAGACATTGCTGTTGCAAAAACCTAAATGTTCTTTTCTCAGGATGGGATCTCACTTCACTGCTTATCCAGAGCTTAAAGGTTGGCAGGACTTGAAACTTGAAAATTAGGATCTTGAAATTGAGGAGGGTTTTCTAATTATTACATTGATTTCCTGCCATTCCTCTGAGGAGTCAAGGCAATATGTGTTGGTTTATCCTACAATCTTGCAAACTAAGTTAACCCAAGAGAAATTGATTATGGCTTCTGCAAAATTGATGTTAGGTTTTTGCTAGTTGTGTTTAAGAATATACTTAATGTGGTCATTTAAATCCTAGCAGCTTTTTGTAAATATTATGGAAGGCTTGGTTAGTTTAATACTCTTTCATTCTTTCACATGCCGTGCTTTGTAGGCTCATCATTCTTTATTAGTTTATGGCTGAGTGTATTGTATGAAAACAAAATGAAAATTACTGAATCCTTAGGATTTGTCTCTTGAGAGAGCTTCTGATGTCTTTTGTTGGGACCACATTTCTATAGTACATTGCATAAATGGCTTTGACCTATGTCAAGGATGCCGTTCTTCATATTCCCCTTGCAAAAGCCCTCTTTGCTCCTGGCAGAAAACTGGGATTGAAAGAAATATCCCCAGTATGGATATTTTTTTAGAGAATTTTCTAATTCAGCATCTAAAGACCAAGCTCAAGGTTCACATTCAGGACAGAGAAGACCACTGATTTAAAAGAGGGATCATAGAGGCCACCTATATTAAAACTGGACAGCCCTCCCTCAACAGAGAGGGAGTGATACAATACCACCTATCTCCTGTTTACAATGCAGTCCTTTCAGCAGTCCCAAGAAAGTTTCACACTTGTTTACATTCTGATTCTGGAAACCCTGAACCCCCATGTGGCCTCAACAATTCTCAAAGTGCTAATAACTGGATGACTGCAAAAAATGTAAATCCATTCCATTCCCCACCAGTTAGAATAAAGAAGCTTCTTGGATGAGAAGTGAAATGTTTTCAAAGAAAAAAAAAGTCAGTCCAGTTGCCTTTTGAAGAAAAGCACCTTTGGGACAGATACGGAGTTTGTTACACAGTAGGGTCAGTCCTCAACTCTAGTTTATTGCACTTGTTGGTTCCTCAGTGGCTATATACATGCAAACTTGGTTAATGACTTCTGAGCTGTATGATTCACTAAACTCTAAACTAACCAGTGAACTGATTTCCCACAGTATGCTAAGCAAAAACAAGTAACCAAGGTTAAATTAACTAAAAAATTAGCATTTTATAGAGCAATGTGTTTGGTCTTTTCCTGATCTGATTAGCTCTGAATTTGCACATTTAATTTACTACATTTAATTTCATTAAATTAGATGTTTTCCTGATCTGATTAGCTTTGAATTTGCACATTTAATTTACTACATTTAATTTCATTAAATGTGAACATACACAGCTATTGTGGATTTGCTGTTACTAAACAAGTTCTGGAACCATTGTGCTAATGCTTGTGTACTTGTCCCTGCATCTTTCCCCTCCCTAATTTTTCTTGCTGACAACTCCATCCCAGGGCCATCCATCAGGTGTAATGGAATCTGCCTGTTTGTCGTAGGCAAACTAGCAAGCAGAGTTGGCAGCTCTCCAAAGTTTCATGTAGGTGAAGTCATCGCCCAGAGAGTCGTCAATCTCTGTGATGTACCTGGCATTGAGAGAGACTCATCCCATTACACTTAGCAGGCTTGCCAACTGCATCATTCAGGTGCTACCCCCCAGCCTATATAGATGAATGAATGGACGGATGGATCAGGGAAAGTGCATTTGCTTCCTGTGTATTTATCAATGAGTTGGAAGCTGAACCAGTGCTATGATGTTTCTGATACTTCAGCTAAAGATAGTGGTTCCTATTTTTTGGGGAGGAATATCTCGACCAAGGAAATTTGCGCATCTGAACAAGAATTAGTCCTTCGTGTGGGCAGTATTTGAAAGACTGATTGTTAGTTTCCTATCAACAATCAAATTCCACAGTATCTGTCTTGTCTTCATTTTTTTCACCCAACAGTGTATGATTTCTTCCTCAACTTAACTCCACTTCCTTGTATGTTTCTACTGTGTAGGAGGAAACTTGCCCTGACTGTCTCTAATGGTTTCATAGTACTCAGTTATAGTTACGCATGGTGTCATTTCCCTGTGTGGTATAAATTGTGCATGGTGTTACTTCCTCTGGACAAGGTTTTCTGAAGTATTACCCAACAATTTTTCTCTGGGTTTGTTTTTCTGCAATGTGATGGCTCTCATTTAATGGAGCTGATCAGTAACTAAAACAGATACATTCATCTGGAAAGCCAATAAATTACTTTGTATTTTTGGCAGATTCCTGAGAGTCTGGAAACTCATAGAAGAAACTGAGACAGCTTCTGTACAAGTGGTACTTACTCTAGTTGGATCTCCTCTTCTGCCCTTGACTCTTAGCACTGGCTGCACCTTTTCATTCAGTTCCAAGGGCAGGAGAGACTGACAGCTCTTCCAAGCATTGTGGCTTATTTCTCTGCCAGCTGGCTAGGTCTCACTGAAGGAAGGAGGCTTGACGTCAAGAGTTGTTGGCAGAGACTTTTGGAAGTCAGTGGACCAAATGCTCTGCCCCCTCCCCCAGACCAGACTTCAGTAAAAAAAAAATATAAGACGTGATTTGGACCCGTGTTGCCTATTGTCTCAACTTTTGCAATGAGTAGCTTCCCATATTTAGTCCTGGTGTTAGCAAGAACTTTTTAATTTCTCTTAGGTAAAGCAAAAGGAAAGTTGCTTTAATCAGATAGTCTTGAACAATTTTTGTGGTAGGATCTTGAACACCCACCCCGTCCCCCGTCTATTAATCTACAACTGTACAAACTGAATGTCTTTTTTGAGAGCAAGAAGAAAATGCTTGAGCTACACATTCCCATTTTCTTATTTAGGCATAAGAATTCAGCAGTGTCTAGAAGACTGCAGTGTCTGGGACTTGGAAACATGAAGAGTAAAATATAGTTAGGAACTCACAAAAGTACGATTAGGAATCTTCTGTTAGGATTCAGGTTGGAAAATTGAAAGGTACTGGCACATTCTGGTTTGCCCAAAGCAAGAAGCAACTAATTGAATTAAAGTACATGAAATGAGAAGACAGCAGAGATAATATAAGTAAAGGAAAGGTCAGAGTCAATTTGGTGCAGTGACCCAGTTTGGTATACTAAAGGCACCAGGCTGAAAACCAGGAGACTATGAGTTCTAGTCTGCCTTAAATACAGGGCCAGTTGGGTGACTCTGGGCCAGTCACTTCTTCTCAACTCTAGGAATGAGGCAATGATAAACCACGTCCAAAATCTAGCCAAGAAAACTGCAGGAACTTGGCCAGGTAGTTGCAAGGAATCAAAAGCATACACACACATGCATATGCACACGCATGCGCGCGCACACAAACACACACATACACAACAAATGAAATCAGATATTACTTTAAGCTTTAAACTCCTCTGGCATTCAGAATATTGATTGGATCAATACTGAATTAATGTTGTATTACAGGGACCCTCATGGGTGCTGGAGATGTGATTTCACAGCAGATGATTGAAAGAAGAGGGCTGTCTGGGCACAGTGGCTGGCGGACCCTAAAAATGATGAGCATTGGATTTTGCTTTGTGGTAAGTGAAAATTGTGAGTACTGAGAGGGAAGGGAACTCATCCCATAGCTCAGTTGGACACATCAGCTCCAGCTGTCTTGATATAAGTGCAATGACCAGACCTATTCCTTGAGCTAATAAAGTTGATTCTTCTGAGACATATGGAAAACAGGAGTAGGATACTTAAGCTCAGCATGGGAGCAGAAGCTGCTTAAATATCATCTCTGATGGCTATCCATCAAACTTTTTCAGGGCCCAGTCATTGGAAAATGGTATCAAGTCCTGGATCGTCTAGTGCTCGGCAAAACCAGAGTGGCTGCACTCCAGAAGATGCTGCTGGATCAGGTTAGGGAAATCCTCATGAATTCAAGTGGTGGGAAGGGAGCACATAAGCATCCTTCCCAAAAATGGCTGCCTAACTGCTTGTTAATTCTTTTGCTGTAGAGTTTGAGAATTAAACCATGCCTGAATTACAGTCTCTACATTTTTGTAACCTACCTTTTGCACAATTTCCCTTCTTGCTTGATACATACACACATAGCTCCATCTCCTACATTAGAGTGTTGTTTACTAAACGCTGTATGTCAAGTATTAAAGCTGCGGTTCTCCACCATCATCACCATTCTGGGTCTGGTTTTGTTGTACTTGATGGGGAAGAGCAAGATCTATTGGAGTCCCATGATAGCTATATCTTCCACCTTGAGAGATCTTTTCTCTACTCCTTTCCGTTTCATAGACCAAGAATACTTCATCTTATTTCCCTAAATCTCTCTTGTATTCCTATCTATATTTCACACAGGTTGGATTTGCACCCTGCTTCCTGGCCTGTTTTCTGACTGTGGCGGGAACACTCAATGGCCTATCCTTGAAAGAGAACTGGAGCAAACTCAAGAAGGTAAATTCCAAATTAAGCATCAAGTTAGATGTGTGGGTACAGAGATTTTAAAAAAAAACAGAAGAAGCGTTGCTTACTGGGTTTAAAACCTCTACCATTTCTTCGGCCAATTTGCCTTAAAGAATCAGTGCAAAAACATGCATGTTTATCCATCAGACTGTTCCACTGCCAATAAACAACATTAGACGAAGTGCAGGAAAAGAGTAAGAGGTAGTTTGCAAAATAAACTAAAGATTGGAGTTGAGAGGAAAGCAAAGAAAATATACTGTAATTAAATCTAACCTTGATACAAACATTCCTTATGCATTTATCTGTATCTATAAATACATTCCAGCCAAGGGGTTATCACACATCTTTATCTTATGCTAAATGTATTTGGTGAAGAGTTTTATGTATTTATTCATACCTACAGTATCAAAGTTATTTGCCTCCCATCTCACAGTTCAAGGCATACATACATACTTTGGTGCAACCTGACTCCAGGCCAACTCTGGAAGAGTCACAATATAAAACACAAGAAATGCTAATACAACAAAATAAATAGCAATACAATATGGTAAAGGAATAAACAAAACATATCCAGACAACTTATTTACGTTTATGCATGGTTTATTCACATCATATACTAATCTTATGTATTTAGCAAGCAACCATCTTATGTTTTTGTGCAAAACATTCTACAAGCCTATTTAGTTTCTCTAAATCAGCATATCTTTGTCACATTCATACATCTTTTAGTGACTTTCTGAAGAGCAAAAATCTGTTTTTTATAGTGTCCCTGTTGCAGAGCTACTTTGCAGTTCCCCAACATTGTCTCATTGTCACTTTTCATACTCTTTTGATTAGGCTTCTGCCAAACAGCTTTCCAAGAACATGTAACAAACTAATCCTCCTGTAGTTCTGTATTCACTCTGGCTGACTGAATTGATTGCCCATCCATGCAAATGATCAGTCATGGTCAGAGTTAGTAAAGAAAGTTGCTGCTCTTAAATTTGCTACAAGAGTAGGTAAGCTATCCTTCATCTGGAATATAGAAGAAGTTCTCTAGGACGGTGCTTTTTCAAACTTGGCAACTTTAAGATGTGTGAATTTCAACTCCCAGAATTTCCCAGCTAGAAGTTGTCAAGTTTAAAAAAAAACTGCTCTAGGCCAATCACCTTTTCAAAGACAGCACCACCCAACTTACTGCAGAGTAGTCACAAACAGAAATGTAGCAAGAAGAGGAAAACTGGGCCATCAGATAGGCTGTTTTTCTCTCTCATAGTACTTTATCATCCTGTGACATTGAATGGGGGAGATTTCAAATAGACAAAAGAAGCTACTAATGAAGACGGAGCATATTAAATTGTGGAATTCAATTCATAGAAGAGCAAGCAGTTTAATTTTCCTCTACAGCCATGGAATTGCTTTCTCTTTTATGAATTTCCAAATTGTTAGTAGACTATAGTGACATATTCATGTCCTGATCTTTATCCTCTCATTCAAAATGGTTTAATTCATTAGGTGTAGAAGCAAAAAGTTAGACAAATATTTTTTTAATCAATGCTATTCTTACATTGAAAAGCTTTCTGGACAACTTAAGAAAATACTGTTGCCAGTAATCACTATGTACTAACAGCTACAAAAAAAAATCAGTTATGTACACATTCTTTGTGTCCAATGGAAAGAAATTCAAAAAAGACAGAGATGCACAGCTTCTCTAGCACCTTTATTCCCACAAAGCTGCCTCAGAGACAAGATTCTGTCTTTTGAACTATGCCAACTTCAGTCACACACTTGAATGGCTTTTTTTATGTCTGTTTTTGTTCCTTGGTTAGTGGTTTGTCATATTCTGCCGTGAGATGCCTGCCTATCCCTCTCAGGGTGACTGAGTCACATAGTGCAGGTTTGGTTAAGGGGCCACGCATCTCCAGCATGTTATGAAAACAGTACAATGTCTTAGCAAGATGCTTTTTGTTTGCTCTTCCTTGTTCAGCAAAGAATTCTCATGTCTTATGTTTGCATGTACTATAACACTTTGTTTGCTAAGCAATGATGAGTCATGAAGAATATATTGCCAAAAAGTTTGATGGAACCCATTCTTAGAGATAAAGGAAAGAGCTGATTGAGAAAGACCGCCTGTAGCTTAGAAATATTGAATCAAGGCAGGATCTAAAAGAAGTAATTACCCCAGATACATCTCTTATTTCTATTTTCCTGAATTCATTCCCAATCACATAGGAATCTATCTGAGATGTTTTGGATGATGGTGGAAAAGTGATAGAAAGAAACCCCAACCATTGTGGTTTGTGAACATGTGGATGGGGTTTTGTTATGAACACATTTGCTTGGATTAGTGATTGTTTCTTCAAGACATTTACAAACCACTTCATTTTCTAAAATAAAAATAGTTTATACATAACCTGAGAATAAAAAAGTCCAGAAAAAGAACAATATATTTAAGGCACCAAACATCCCATGAAGGGGCATTACTTGTTCTGGCCCAAAGTCTGCAGTAGAATCAAGTTCTAAAGGCTTATTTAAGTAAGGTTAGGGTGGAAACCATGTAAATGTTTTTTCCAGGGAGCAGGCACCATGACAAGAGAAGGCACATTCCTGGGACCCATCAGATGATACAGTTTTATTGATGGGACCCAAAGCATGCCTTGTCAGTATGTTGTATGAGTAAGGCCAGTTATTCCTTAAATCACAGGTAAAACAAACCCCAGTTTAACACAGTGTGTGAAGGTAATGCAGTGTATGAACCCAGGCAGTGCGAAACTGTTCAGGGTGACAGATTTAGACTTGAGTTTAGGAAGAACTATCATCTGATCTTAGAGCCTCAGAAAACTCCTCCCTGGGATTTCCCCCTCCTTTTTTAGGACTATTAGTATAAGTCCCTCAAAATTGGACACATACAGCAATTCTATCTACCTGTCTTTCCTTTTGCAGGACTACCCTGATGCCCTGATCACCAACTATTATGTGAGTGGCCTTAAGATACCATTGCTTGGACTTGGCAGTCTTCCTCTGGATAGCCTTGCAGAGGGATTGTCTAGGTGGATTGGTGGAAGAAGAGACTTCCTCCATATTTTCCAGAGACCCTGTAGAATTGCTTGGCTATTCAGTTGATCCAGCCCTGTTGTGGCTGCTTCAAACTTCAGCTTCTCCTTTCCTATTGGGTGGGAGGGATGAAGCAGATATGGTGGCTGCTCTTCATCAAACTCTTCCAATGGTGCTGCCTCTGTCTTTCAGATTTGGCCAGCAGTGCAGGTTGCCAACTTCTACTTCATCCCCTTGAACTACAGGTATAAGCTGCCTTTCTTGCCTAAATTCCTTTACTTCTGACACTGCCTACATGCACATGCACCAACACTCAAATCCATAATTAGCTATGTTGTTGTCCTTGACTTTTTCTTCTTTTTCTGTCTCCAGACTTCCTGTGGTTCAGTGTGTTGCCATTATCTGGAACAGTTATCTTTCCTGGAAAGCCAATAAACTATAATCTGGCATGGGAAGACATGAGAACTATGCTTAATGCTATTAGAACACCTGCAGATTTTCTTTACTCACTGTTCTTCATGCATTGCAAACAGATGACCAACCCAGGATGCATACCATAAACCAGCCACCAGCCCAGTAAACCAGCATATGCAACTGCACAAAGATATATTCATGAAAAAGCCCCAAGTATTCCCTGAAGAGGAGAATTGGACAAAATAAACCCCTGATCTGCATACTATTAGCAGTTAAAGAATCAGACCAGCTATCACAGCTGCCCGAAGAAACTGAAGATATACTGTGTTTTGGAACACAGGAACTGCTGCAATCATCTAGGTACTTGACTGTAGGGTGTTTGTAGGAAAACTAATTTCTCTGAGCTGTGATTACTATTCTCTAGGAATGTAAAAAGCTCTTTTACACCTGCAGGCCAGGATACACTTGGCTCTAATGTAGAGGTGTCAACCTCGCAACGTCACATGTGTTGCAACGTATCACAACTTTTTTGCCATTGCCAGCAACGGGATGAGCGCAGTTTCCTATGATGTATCCGGCCTGTGGGCCAGCAGTTTGATACCCCTGTACTAATGGATACAATTAGCATAAATAAGCTTGATTAATGTTCTCTGTTCACATTTAACTACTGCCTTATACAGTAACCATTAGCAGTTATAACAATGATGAAAAAGTAACTTTGCAACCAGTCCTTGCATTTATGAACTTCACAGGTCTATAAAACAAAGGAAAGCTGAAGTAAGATCATAACTACAGTTGCGGTTTCACTACCATTTGCTTTGCTTAATCAAGTGGCCAGTCCCAAGTGTGGACCAAATGAGAACTCCCTTTGGTATCTTATTGTGTCATGTAACCCAATCTTCAATTAGTTTATGGTTTAATGCATTATTTTAACCCAGTGAGAATTCAGTAACCAGACCAAGCATTCTGTGTAACTGAGCCATGGAATAAGACATTTGCTCCATTTTGCCTATTAACTGTAAGTAATTACTGTAGCGGTTTTTTAGTGTTTTAAGGCTACTTTTCTGCCCTTGCTTTGGCATATCAAAAACTAGATTTGAGGCCACCTGAATGCGAAGCATGGGATCGTTTGCTGAATTCACCATTGAAATAGTGGGATACTGGAGGGTCCAATTGATAGCTAAGTTAATTTTTGGAACAAATTTGGAAAATTGATCAAGGAGAGATATATTAGTGGCAATTTGCCATGATAACTAGAGGGTATCTCCATATATTGAACCAGTCTCTCAGGAAGCTTCCATTGTTGATTTATTTGTATGTAGATGCGTATGGCATCCACAGAGATCATACAATCACTGATGTACACATTTAGTTTAAAGGATCAGCAATATATTGGACCCCAGATCCATATTTTGCAACTGAACATAGAAGGCTTAAGTAGAAGTAAATGTGAGTACTTAAGCAGACTGGCCATAGATAATAGGATAGATGTTATAACACTACAAGAGACTCATTTGGCTGACAAGGAACAGATTAAAGCTTGAGGGAAGATCCAGGGTCCACAATTGTAGCCAATAAAACATCCATTGTTAATGAGTATCATATAAGAATGATTGATTTTTAGGTTCTGGTTGATTCTAAGGAATTAAAATGACTACTACAAAAAATAGGATGCTTAGTCCAATCCAATTGGAATCAGTTCTTACAAAGTAGGCGAACATATAGAACACATATATGGTACAGTGGTTAAGGTTTTGGACTAGGATCAAGGAGACCCAGTTCTAGTCTGCCATCAGCCATGGAAGCTCATTGAGTGATTTTTGAGTCGGGTTGCTTTCATTCAAGCCAATCTACTGATCAGGGATGTGGTTATGGGAGAAAAATAGGAGGGAGAACTATGTGTGCTATCATGAGCTTCTGTATAGTGATATATATATCAAATGAATAAATATATATAATCAAAAGTGATATATAAATCAAAATAAATGTTTTCACTTCGAACTTCAATGAAGTCAGATCTAGTAAATCCTGGATATTGCTGTTCCTGAAGAAGCAAGGGATGTTTGCAAACTCTGGAGCACCCAGTTACAAGGCCAAATTGGTGCATCTGCACTGGTAGCATAATGACAATTGCACTTCTAATTATCCAATGTGACAGACTCAAAATTGATTCAGAATGAATTAATGTACTGTTGGTGTGGAAGGTACTATCCTGCTGACAAAACAGACTTTTAAAAAGAATGCAACAAATGCATGGAGGAAACCATATGGCGAATGGCCATTCACTTTTCATTCTGATAGATGGGTATTTCTCAACCTCAGCGATTTCAAAAAAAGGCTGGGGGATTCTGGGAGTTGAAGCCCACAGATTTTGAAATTGAGAAACACTGATGGTTCTATTTGGGGTTAATAATGGAGAGCCATATCAGTGCTGCTAGTAGAACACTGCCTCACTGCCAGCTAATACATGGTGCTTGAACAGGCCAAAATTCCAGAGGGCCTGCAGTTAAAACGAAATCGCCCAGCCCAGCACCGAGGCGACCCAGTCAATCTCTCGTGCAGCCCCCTGCTTGCCTGACTGCGGCAAGAGAGGAATAGGCTGTCGCCAGGTCCTTCAGTTAGTAAATAGTTCCCCTCTGCTTCCACAGCAACTCGGGATGAAATAACCGCTTTCTTCTGCTTTAGCGTCCAGAAGAAAGTAGCGCTTCTCCCTTTTTTTGCTGGGGAGGTGGCAGGCTGCGCCGCTTTTCCAGAGCCGCTTTCCCCTCCGAGGCTGAGGAGAGAAGCTGCTCCGTAGAGCCGCGCCTCTCCTCACAGAGCTGAAGTTTGTCAAGAGCGCGCTCTTTCTCATCCTCCGCTCTTGACGCAGGCCCAGGGCACACTGGACGCTGAAAGGGCTCGCTCGCGCTCCCGCCGTCCAGCCTCTGTACGGCCTCCCCGCCAGCCAATCATCACGGCTTCCTCGCTTCGCGGCGGACCTGGCTGGTATTTGCCCAAAGGATGGCATTCGATAGCGGATGTTTGTCTTCCTATTGGGGCCAAGTAGCCCGAGGAGATGAATGGGAAGCGGGGAGGGGGACGTGGAAAGAAGTTAATTAAGCTCGGATCGTCGGGATCAGTGCCGCAGTCCCAAATCAGCCGTCTGGGTGCCCCAGCCAATGGAAGAGGGTACATAGATTGAACCTGGAGCCAATTTGTTTCACCATGTCTTATCCATATAGTGGTTTCTGGACCTATATCTAGATGGCATTCTAGGACAGGGGTAGGCAACCTTGGCTCTTTTATGACTCGTGGACTTCAACTCCCAGAATTCTGGCTCAGGAATTCTGGGAGTTAAAGTCCACGAGTCATAAAAGAGCCAAGGTTGCCTACCCCTGTCCTACGTGCTTTCTGAGCTTGGTTGTTTTCTTGCAGACATTTCATTAGCAAACTAGGTAGCATCATCAGTAATAGACAGCGGGATTTGTTCTCATTTTCTATACTAGTGACTTGTCCTGTCGATGTTGGTGGAAATGGTCTCGGTGGTTCCTTGATTGGCTGATTGTTTACTGTTAGCTTGTTCGGATAAACTCACGGGACAATTGTTCTTGCATTTCCAGATCCTGATCAAGAAATGGGTGACAGCTATGGTCAGGAGGGTTTTTGTCTTTGACTTTCAATTGATGTGTCAATTGTTTCTGCCCTCGGATCAGATGTCTCTGCTCCTGATCATTCAGATTTTAGTATCTTCTGGTTGAATTACTGCAATGAACTTTAAATGGGGTTGCCCTTGAAGAATATCCAGAAACTAACTGGTTCAAAATGCAGTGGGGCAGATGTATGTACAACAATATGCCCATTTAAACATTACTATTTTGTGCACTGCACTATCTCTTAATAAGCTTCAAGATGCAATGCAAGGTCACGGTTGTGTATTTTCCATAACAGTCTTTTCTACTGGAGTAATCTCCTCTCCTCCCTCCCCTTCTTGTTACCTTCCGTAAGGTATTAACTGTTTTTTTCTCTATAAATTTGGGATGGGATGTTAGATGTGCCTATTTTGAAGAGGCAAGATGTGGTTTTGACAACTGGATTGTATGTCTATTTTTTATTAGCTACCTAGAGTCACGCTGGCAAGTGGATAGTCATATACATTTATTAAATAATACATTTATTAAATAATTAAAATTCCAGACATAGTTTGGTGTCTTTTTTGGTGTTTGTCCTCTTTCACCTGTTGCCCTCTCCTACCTTACTGCCCCTCAACTGGCTAACCAAATCTGCCCATTACTTCAAATCTGCTTACCAGTCACAACATCTTCCTATCTTGTATGGGCTGTGGCTGGTCTATTAAGATGCTATTATTTTCCTATTTGAAGATGCTGTTTACCAGCTAAAGCTGGCATATTTACCTCCATTCCTACTCATTGCTTCCTGATCCTTTCCTACGGAATTTTCTCAGACTAATCAGAATTACCTGTCTGTCAACCAGCTTTGAAGTTCATCATAGCTTCTGTTTATATTAATTTCTTTAAGTGATAGAGGCTGCATCTTCCAAGATTGAGATTCGTGGCTGTTTGAAAGTAGAGGCTTTGAATCAAGACTGATTATATGAAGAAACATGAAAACATCAAAAAGCTGGTCTATATGACAGAGTTCACACACAGAGTGGGGTAGAGAATCACAAAGACTTTCAGGGGGCTCAGCTGGTCTCCCTGGCATTAGTGCCTTGAGAGTCGCTTCAGCATTCGTAGGACCCGAGTCTGTTCGGACCTCGGAAGTAGGTAAGAAAAACTAGGTCTGCAAAGAGTGAATTTACTCTGAGGCGACTTGCGGGAGTGCTGAAATAATCCGGGGGGGGGGGGAAGCAGGCATCCAGTAACAAAGCACAAGGACACCTTCTCCCACTCAGACACCAGTTCAGGTCCCAAAAGGGTCTATCGGGGGACACCGCCCGCACCATCAGCAATCAGTCCAGGTTCCTCACTGACGTCAATGGATCTCCCGGCTTGCTATATATAAAGAACCCGCCAGCGGCTCCGAGCACCCTTTTCCCGGCTCCGCAAGGACACATCGCGGTAAGTTGCTTCCCTTCCACCTGAGGCTGAGGCTGGGGGAGGGGCGGGGGGGGAGAGAAAAAGAAGCGGAGGCTAGACGATCCTCCAGGCAACCCCCTCCGCCCTCGGGTGCTGCGACTAGTAGCTCAGTGCCGCCCCCTACTGGCACTGGATCGCCAAGAGAGGGCTGGAGAAGTCCTCGGGACGTTGTCCTCCGTCCGATTGCTTAGGAGAGCATCTCAAGTAGACTTTAGCCAGGTTCCCCAGATTCTCCTCAACTTTAGGGAGCAGGTCGGCGGCGTTGCTCCCTGTGCTGGGTCACCCGGGTCTCGCTCTCTCCAAGACCTCCCTGTCTCCTTTATCAGGCCCGGAGCGCCTCAGCATGAGGCGGGCGCAGCTGCCCAGCCTCCTGGCCTCGCTGCTCCTTCTGGTCTCGCAAGTGTCCCTCGGAGCCAGACCAGCGGCCGACCTCGAGGGCAGTGCAGAAAGCGACCTGACCCTGCGGCTGCGGCTGCCCGAGGAAAATCGCGCCGGATCCCGCCAGCCGCTGCAACCTGTTCCCGAGCCAGACGGGGCGAGCCTGTGGCTGCGATCTCTGCACCGTCTATCTCCGGAGGGAGAAGAACTGCGTCGACGCCTTGCCGAACTGAGCGACCGACTCAAACGCCACGAGCCGCCGCTCTCGATCGACCTCACCTTCCACCTCCTCCGCCACATGATGGAGATCTCCCGGGCGCAGAGCCAGCAAGCCCAGGCAGAGTTGAACCGTCAACTCTTGGACTCGGTAGGCAAGTGAAGCCGTCGGCGAGGGCGCGCCAGAGATCCTCGCCTTTGTGAGCCGATCCAGCAACTGAATCGCCCCCACTTCCTTAGGCATCGCTTGCCCCAACTCCGGCGCCTTCGCAGAAGACATTTGTTTATAAAATAAAACTTCTTCGGCGTCAAACGATTTCCGAGTGCGGGCTGGTGATTTGGAGGTGGGGGGGGGAGGAGAGTGAGGTTGCTTCCTGGGCTGCACTGGTGGTCCTACCTGAGTTGTGAGGTGTCAAGGTTTGCTATCCTGATATAAACTGTTGAGTTCAGTAGAAGGTCCCAAAGGGGCTTTTCCAAAAAAACAACTAGACTTTCTTGGTTCTTTTCCTTGAAAATGTTTCGCTTCTCATCCAAGAAGCTTCTTCAGTTCAGTAGAAGGGTTTACATCATATTACTTCACACTTATTTATTGAAAACTTACTTTCTGAGGCCACACATTATATAACTGATGTTAACGAATCATCTGGGTTCGAATATGGCAAACCCACCAATCAAACCAAAATTAAATGAGCCATTCTGGGCATGCATTATGAAGTTTAACAGATCTCCTGTTTCTGTAGGTCAACTCTACTAAAAGTTAATCACCTTTGGAGGGATAAAGTAATGCTGATGGAAGAAAGTAAAATGTTAGCCTTGATAATGAAACTTCCCAGATCTACAAATTCAGATGTGCCTCTTTTTGATCTGCTAATACAGGCAGAACTTGGGTTTTGAGGCCAAAGGAAGCCTGAATTGGATCATTGATTCTCCAGGTCAGCCTTGGTCAGACGCTATGCAAAGCTAAACTCAAGTAAAATCCAAATGCTTTCAAAAAAAGGGTACTCTTTCCATCTAGGAACCGCTGTATTGCAGCCCAAAATACAGGCGAGAATTGAGCATTTTCATGTCAACTAGACTGGGAGATAGAAGCACTATGTATGCCAGCTATAGGGGGTGTCTCAATTCCCCATTGGTCCTCCCCCTCCACAAACGCCCTTCTCAAATGCTCATGACTCCTTTGCCTTGGAGCACTCCCTGCTGTTCTCCAACTTCAAGAGTAGCACCATGGACAGCGGCACTGACTAGACCCCCTAAAAAGCACAAGCTCCTTCCACACCAATCTTTTCACTGGAGCTGGTTGCTGATGCTAACAATGAGCAGCGTTTTGCCTTTTCCCCAACTGGAGGGTGCTCCGATCAGTCGAAAACAGCAGGTCAGGAAGGCAGATTAGACTTCCTTCGTAATTTTTTAAAAATTGTAAATAATGTAAATGGCCACTCATCTCACTAAAGTTGTATCTTACAGAAGATGGAGTTTCACTTTTGATGTCCTCCTGCTCCAACATACTTCAAATATAGAGATGCCACTATTCCTCAGTGTAAATTTGAAACTGGTCAAAGTAACATTTAGATTCATCCATGTTCAAAGGATGGAACAAGTTACCCCTTCCTTAACCCAGAAATAGGATGGAAGGATTGAGAGTAAAGTGTTTCTAAACCAGGCTAAAACCATGCCTATGGCTGACCCTCTTTTTCCCAGCACAAGAAAACGTTTTAGACAGCCCTTGATGAGTTGGGAAAAATCTGTTATGGTTTAAGAAAGAACCACTTCTGGTAGGAGAGGGGGTGAGGAACTACTGCAGATAGCCTCTGTGAATGATAAATGCAGAAATGTATGAATGAGCACCCTTTGAAAAAATTTCACCATCTATGCCTATGAATCTCATTTTCTTTCTCCAAAGAAAGGAGTCGAACAGAATCTCTCACCCAATTAAACTTGCCAGAATTGCTGTTAGCAAATAAAGTCTCAACTTTATTGTCTTCATAAATTAAAAAGCCAAATGGTATAGGGAGAAGAGGAGCATAGAAGGAAGAAAGAAAAAGATGCATGGAGAAAGAAAACTTAGTGGGAAGCAATAAAAACGTCTGGTGGTGAGGAGGGATAAGTATGGGATGGGGCTGAACGGAACACTTCTCCAGCTGCTTCTGTCTTCAAAGTGACTTTTCAGTGTTGGCCTGATGGAAGAAACAAGGTACACATCCAGTGGGAAATAAAATGTGCCAGAGTGCTTCCCAGCTGATCCAGGCCTTATGAATGTCCAAGTCAAAGCAGGAAAGCTCACTGATGGGCACACTATCCTTTCCTGGTAACAAATCCTCTTCTTTCAATTCCTTTATTCACTCAGAAAGCTAAGAGTTGGGGGAAGGAACCAGAGGGTGAATGCTGGGAGAAACTTTGCCAAGAAAAACCCAAAGCCAAAAGAGCAGGAAAGAAGATCCAAAATAGCCAAAGACCAACAGCCATAAGTTGCCAGAATTCTACCCACTTTTTCTGGGTTAGGAAGCAAACATGTTTCCCACTGCTTTGGAAACAGTAGAACCTACTCTGTTCCCTTCCTCCAATTCTGGCTGATGGTGTATTTCTTTTCATTGTGTTTACATGTCATTGAAAAAGATTGTGATAAAAGGCTATTGGCTATTGTCTTCTCTATAGCACAGTGCCAGGCAAGTATGCAAGGGAATCAACAACATGGCAGAAAATTCCATTCAGAGCATCCCTAGAAACTTCCTATGTAAGCATCCCATCAAGAGAACATCTGGTTGTTGGGGCTCATTCCTGAAGATTCCTTTTCATACCCCTCCTGGTCCTCTTATTCTCTGCTAATTAAGGAAGCTGTCCGAGAGGAGACTTACCCCGAGGTGGTACACTAGGTGGCTTTGGTCTGAATCGAGACAGATTCTCTCCATCTAGAGAGAGAAAGAGATGCATGAAATTAGGATTCCGCATTTCATAGCTAAGGTTGAGGTTAGCTCAACAGGAAAGGACAGAAGTACTCAGACCTCTGATTATAAAATCACAGGCAGAAACAGCCCCATTTCCATTATATGTGACTCCGTCACTCAGAATTATTTTAATCTATTATCTCACCTATGCTTGTGAGCTAAATATATTAAAATAATTCCTTTCCTCTTCAAGTTCTTAATATTGATTATAATGAGGACATTTCTAAGAAAACTGTGGCTCAAACAGGACAGGTAGGAAGAAAGAATCATTTAGATTTTCTGATAAAGGTCTTGCGAGGGGTAAAATCTGAATGCAGCCCCAGTCAGAGCTACTCATTACTCTCTACCCATCTCTCATTTCAGCCTTTCAACTCACCTTCTGCTCCTTCAGGAGCCTCTGATCCTTCTGGATGGTCTTCCTCTCCAGCTTCACCACCTCCTTCTGGAATAATTCCTTCAGACTCAGTTTCCTCCCCAGAAACATCTGAGAGGGAAGCAGGGTGGGGGTGTAAAGAAGGCATATATGAAAATAACAACTTTCTATTATTCATCTACCTTGAATCTCTAAACATAGATTTTCCAGCATGCTTTCTGAATGCTAACATTATGTAGACAGGCCTTTCAAAAATATGCAATTCCGCACACATGATGCATAATTACTACATAGGTTTTGTATAATTTCCTTCCTAAATCGTACTTGTTCTAAATACATTTTTCAGAAGACAACCACAAACAAAAGCAAAAGGGAGATCAAATATTTTAATATTTCTGAAAGTCCTTTAGTTCTAGTATAAATTTGTTGGCCAAATTAATATCCTGTCTAGCTCAATAATATCCTTTCATGACATGCAGGAATTCACTTTTAAAAGAGTTGTGATGCAGATTTACAAAAGAAAAGGGTTAAAGAAAAATAACTTTTTTGTATATTTTTCCCAAATACACCAGCACTAAGGCTTTAAACTGCGTGTATCACCTGGTTACTGATCCATTTTCTGGATTCACATAATATGCTAGCTTTATATGTTGTGCATATATAGACATTAGGCTTTTAGCTGACTCAGGTATGTTGTCTGAACCAGCCACAAAATTTTTTATTGGGTTGATGTTGATGTTGATTTTTGCACCATGAGCCAAATATCTATTTCCTTCAAACCACAAAACCATATAAATGATGTTGTGGGTCTGCAGAATTACCTGATTACCGTACACATCAGTCTTGCTTTCAAATGTCTGCTGTTGAACTACTGAGTGCTGCAGACAATGACTTGTCATTTTATGCTATTTCTGTTTAGAAGCCTCAGGAATTTTGTTAAGTCAAGTTCAAAATGGCTTGGGTGGTTCTCTTTGAAATAATCTAAAAATTCCATCTATACCCCCCCACACACACACACATCAATAATCCCATGGCTCCTTCTTCTCCATTCTTCAAATCACTGATCGTTGCAATGCCCCTTCCTTATATACAGGCTTTTTCACCCTAGAGAGTTAGAGTTAAGGTTTCAGTTCCTCCGTGACAAATCACTTCTTAGACAGGAAACATGTAACTTAATGAAAAACTAAATAGAATGGCACTCAAATGGAGGGACAGCAGCAAGATGTTTCAGTCCAGCCACTCTCACCTGTCTGAAATTCAATAGTTCTCAGCATTTCAGCAACATGATCTACATTGATAGAGAAATGGTCCATGTTTTCATAGCCAGGCTCAGGTCGGCTGCTCATGGATACCTTGGACATATCTGTGATCCTGTAGAAAAGAGGCATGGTGAAGTCTATCTGATGCATATCTCCTTCCACCAAAAGAGTAGAGATAGGAACTGGCAGTGGGCAGCAGAAGATTCCTTTCTCTCCAAAATGACACAACAGTGTGAATGTGTTTGGCTATTTTTGACTCCTACTTTCTTTCTCTATTCTGCTTCCAGCAAATAATGAACTAACGACATGAGCTGAAATGGCTTCAAAACTGTCCCCACCAAGACCCTGGAAAGTATGTTTCCAGCTGCGCATAGCATTTTTCTAAGGCCAGGTATCATGGCTTACTGCTGCCAATTGTAACTTCTATCAAAATGCTCTGTAAATCTAAGTAAAGTTATACTTAGGTAGGGGAGAAGCACGAGGAAGAGCTCTCTATTATTTCAAAACATATGAAGTATACATTTATGTCTTTGTGTAGGAAACAAATATTTGAAAGCTATAAGAAAATATGTTTTCTGCTATTGTTTTCATTGCTCTGTCCTAAAGAGAAATTGTGTGGTTTGATCTACTGTTAATACTAACATACAGCAGCATCTTACTGAAAGCGAACAGAAGGCAAAGTTGTTTCTTCAGTTTTGGGCTTAATATTTAGTTGACAAAGTTTCTTCAGCCTTAGACATAATACTTAGTTACCAAAATCTATGTTGAGAAAGATTCCTGTGTGACTCAGAAGCTGTCTCCAGCATTGTAAGCTTTGATATGATTCAGAATAAAGTTAACATATCAACCTGCAAAATCTATAGCACTGACTAATCCTGAATCCAGAAGGAATCCCACTGCTGGGGTTGTTTAAGGAGGAGAGGAAGATTCCAGTGAGCCTAAAATAACAAATCACAAATTTGTGGGCTTCGGAGAGACAGACACCAGCCTAACTGGATCAAAGAACAGAAGAATGTTTAACTTTGCTGTTGATTAACCTGTTAACTATTTTTTCTTCATGTATATAATGTATGACATATCAGACAGGGTTGCAATTAGATGCAGCAGTTTATAAATCTTGGAACTGTTTCGTAAGCGGGAAAGCTATTATTGTTACAATACATTTGTCACTGTAATACTAGGGGGGAATAATATGTGGTTTTGTTTTTTGTCCATTTAACTCCGATTTTTAATTGTCTAGTTTTGTTTTGTCCTTGTTAATCTTTTTTTTTAATTTTGTATTTTAATCTTCTGAATAAAATAAAAAAGTACGCAAAAAAAGTGAATTTCTAATATCTTGAGTGTTACTGTTGAGTGCCAGTTGGGCCACTGAAGGATGATATTAAAGCTCAGGGCCTGGATCTTTGCTCCTGTTGCTTCTACTCACTTTTTGATCAGCTCCTTTGACTGCTGCAGGAAGAAAGAGAGAATCTTCAGCATCAATGAAGCAGAAAACAACTATATCCCCAAGTTTTAAACCAATGAATCTTCCAAGTTGCAAGTACGGTCCTGCTTCTCCCCTTCCCTTACCTGTTCATTCTTGAGAAAGCTGACAGTATATCCTGCTTCTTGCTGATTGACCTAAACTGGCTCCAGGCTTGCCCTGGTCCCCCCCCCCCGTCCTGCCACACCTGTATGCACCTGCAGGTAGAGGGCCATCTGGGGTTCCTCCATGGACTGGATGGCTGACTCAACCAGCTTAGAGGAGACCTCAAGGTGGTCGCCATATTGCCGGATGAGCCCCCGCACCCTTTGGACTTTTTCCTCTTGCTCTCGTCCAATTTCTTGCAACAGCTCTTTTTTGCGTTCCTCCAGGATGCTGTACAAAGAGTCAAAGCGCAGACCAAGATGCTGCTTCTGTCGCCGAGCATTATCCTACCAGGGATGGAATGCATGAGGTATTATTTTAAAAATTCTATTTCCACATGTTAAAGTTAACTAAATGGTATAATGAGGTCAATAAATACTACAAGTGTACATCTCCCTGTTTTTCCTCTTATTTGCTCCCAAAAGGCTCCAACTTTTCTCCAACTTTCATATGGGAGAAAGAAGGAAGCTTACAGGTAGTCCTCAACTTACGACCACAACTGAGTCCAACATGTCCATTGCTAAGCAAAGCAGTTGTTAAGTAAGTTGCACTGCATTTTTTTTGGCAAGTTGTTAAGTGAATCATTGCAGTTGTTAAGTGAATAATAATATCAGTTGCCAAGCTCCTGAATTTTGATCATGTCACCATGGGGATGCTGCAACAGTCATAAGTCATTTTTTCCCGTGCCATTGTAACTTTGAACAGTCACTAAATGAATAGTTGTAAGTCAAGGATTACCTGTATTGGCATGTCGTGCAGAAATAAATATCTCTAGAGAGCATCCAAAAAGTAAATTGAATGATTTTATGCTCACCTCAATAGTTTTACAGATCTCTTCCATTTGGGTGATGATGGCTTGGATACGGTCATTCCCTGCCACTAACATGGCAATGCCATCACTCAACTCTCCCTGCAGACATAGGAAGGGGAAGCTTAATGGCTTGGCTCACACTACTCAATGAAATGCAAGGAATAAAACAGGTATTCATAAATCCTGTCACGCCCTAGCAAATATACAAGCTTACTGTAATAGACATATTGTAATGGCCTAGTTCATATTGCTCATTAAGGCAATACTCCAAACCACAAATTACTCAAATTCATTTGAGACTTGAAATGTCTCACTTGAAGATATGCATAGAAGCTACATTCTGAGACTATGCCTTGATGAGCCATAGACTAATATGCTGCATGAACGTAGATTATGGCTCATCAGGGCTTAGTCTCAGAGTCCATTTCTCCCAAAGTCTAGCTCTACGTATATCTTCAAGAAGACAGGAAGATTACAGTGCAGGGCCTGTGGACATGTTTCTGCTTCTGTTGCATGACTGTGCGGCCAACATAATGAGTAACAGGTCAGATGGAGTAATTCTAGGGAATCTTCCCTCTTGAGATCAAGGAAGAGGATGATGCAAGTCATAAGGCAACTGAAAGCCCCATCCTGGATGGGCTCTTGTCTAGGAAAACAAGGAAGTAGTATGGAAGGGAAGCGGCAGAGAAGAGGAAAAACCCCAATCAACACTACCTGGGTGCTCATGATCCAGGTATTTTCTTCCATATCCATAAACATACCTTGATACTTGAATAGGTTATTTGTGGTCCTGGAAATTCCTCTATGTGACAGCTGACTTGGAAACCAACGTTTTAAGACATAATATCAGCCCAGGATCACAGTGCTGTTAATTGCTAAATTGGGCACCAGCATCTAATATGTGTAACAGTTTCTCTCCCACAAGACTCAGACTATTTTTGCTCTTTTGGACAAGAGCAAAAATAGTCTGAGTCTTGCGGGGGAGAAACTGTTACACATGTTAGATGCTGGTGCCCAATTTAGCAAACAATGAGTAGAAAGAAGACAGGATCTTCTCCTTTCATTTCCCCTCTTTCTCTCCCCATCACCACTCCTTGTACCTTTTGGCGCTTATAAATGTTGGTCAGAGGAGCCACTTCACAGTCTTTATGGGCTCCAAAGACTTTGCACATAGAGCAGGTTGGAACCTCACAGTTCAAGCAGTATATGTTGATCTTTTCATCTTCATGTTCTTCACACATCAGCTGCTGCTCTGCCTTGGCATGGAGAGGCCTGGCCATAGCATAAACAGAGATTGAGAGAGATGTTGAATGATCTACCTTAGCTCAAAAACCTTTCTATTTTTCTTAAGGTCATCATGTCAGATAAGAACAGAGGTGCTCCTTTTTGAAATAGTGCAACATGCCAAGAGGTCCAATTTCTATTTCCAAAGGAAAATATTTTAGCTCTTTGTGTCCCAAACAGACATTCAGGTAAAGGTGGGAAGCAAGGAAACCTTAGGATCTGAGATGGAGATGGATTTCAGTTTAGTTCCATGAAAAACATGCAGTGTTTTGGTTCTACCATCAATGCTTAGCTACCATGATCCTTCCTCTGGTTGATGATAGCAATGCAATGTTAGTGTAATCAGCATATTTGATAGCTTTATGTGATTCAAATTATTGATGAGGTTAACCATTTTCTTGGTACGGTGTTTAGATTAGGTTAGGCCAGTGGTGGCGAACCTATGGCACGGGTGCCAGAGGTGGCACTCAGAGCCCTCTCTGTGGGCACACGTGCCGTTGCCCCAGCCTTGCCTCCCACCACAATCCCCTCCTCTCCAGCAGCCCCCCTGAAGGAGAGTCGCCCTTGAGCGTGGCCCATATGGAGCAGCGCAGCCAAGGACATGGCAGCCAGGCAGCATAGACAAGACTCTGCCCTCACACCCCATCATGCAGTTGATGCTGCAGGATGCGGGCAGAGGGTATGGCCACCATAGCGCTGCTGGGCTACCTGGGCGATCTGCGGCGGGCCCTGGAGGCGGTGAGTGGTCCTGTGGGCAGGCGGGGCAGGGGATGGGGGGCAGAGCAGGAGCAGAGCACGGAGGTGGAGCAGGGGCGGGGCCAGTTTTTGGGCACTCGGTCTCTAAAAGGTTCGCTATCACTGGGTTTGGCATTTAAAGAATTGTATTCTTTTTCAGTGCATAAAGAAGAACCAAATCCCAAAGCAGTTTTGAAAATCACAATGTGTGTGGGGTGGACACAAAGTCTTTTTGAAGAAGCACCCATGCAAAGGGGCTCTCTTCTCCTCCCTGTCCAGCATTTTATGTAAGCCTTGTGGTAGGTGATGAGTTCCATTGAGGACATAGCAAACTAGATCTATCTGAAGGATCAGAGATGATATTGCAGCAGATCAGCAGCCAGAGGTTGAATTCTGGCCAACAAAATATCTCTGGAGAAAAAGAGAGATTGCAACATTACCCAGTAATACTCTGGACAGCTGCTCCTCATGTGTAAACTGCAGCAATTAAGGTTTCTTCAGTTAGCTCACAAGTTGAACAGCTGACAATTGAATCCACCAAGCTCACAGCCATTATATAGCCTATATTACGGACACAAAGTTCTGCCAAGTCTCATTTCTTAAACACTTATGGAAATTGCTTTTTTACTGCTTTTCAACTATTAAGAACCTTCCAATTGACAAGTCTTATAACATGTACTGGGAGACTTCCCTTTAATCCTCAGCAAAATAAGTTTTACGATAAACTTAAGAACATAAAAATTATGTCTGTGTGGGGGAAGGATGATCAGCAGAAGAGCAATTAGAATGTTACTCAGTAAATGGACTAAAGGTCCAGGTGTATTTGAAATAAGATTTTGAAATTAATTATAAAAATCTTTCCCATGAGAAAATGTTGTTGTTTTGAATTCTTAAAAGAAAATATAATAAAATGGAAACTTGACAGACACTAGAGCAGTGGTTCTCAACATTTTTAATGCCGCGACTCCAACCGGTCGTAAGTCGAGGACTACTCAACCGGTCTTAAGTTGAGGACTACTCAACTGGTGCAGCACCGTTTGCAGAATGGGACTTTTGGTGGGCTCAGCAGGGCAGAGACAGCCTGGACAATTCCTATTGGCTTTTGAAAGCCAATAGAATTAGACTCTATTCAAGAGAGTCTATTCTATTGGCTTTCAAAAGCCAATAGAATAAAAGGGAGTAGCACAGCTAAGGAAAAGGGGGGAAAAATGGTGGACTGCGTTGTTTGGGGACCCCCATTTCTTAAAAGTGTGGCTCTTCTAGGAAGCAGTAAGCGGCTAGGTTGTTAGTAGGGCAATGTTGGAAGAAGGAATCTTTGCCTACTTTGCAAGAGTGGTTTCTTAAAGTTTCTTATTTGGCGGAAATGGCAAAGATTTCGGCTTTCTTGAAAGATCAATTGCAAGAGAAGTATTTTTTGGTATGGAAAAAATGGATAGATTTCATACAATATAAGTTGGATATAAAAAATATTACTTAGTTTTTGAATAATTTATATTTAAAATTTAAGATATTTTATAGACTTTTTTTAATTTTCTTTTTATTTTTCTTCTCATTTGATTTCTTCTTTTTCTGTTTCTTTTTTCCTTCCTTCTTGTATTTTTTCTTTATATATATATATTGTTGTCAACTATTTTATAATTTGTTTAATTAACGTATTTAGATTTGCTTATGGTTTATATGTGTCTTAAGATTTTTTTAAAATTTTTTAATTAAGCCTGTATTCAGCTCTGGGAAGGTTGGGGGAGGGTAGGGGAGGGTTGGGAGGGTTTGGGGAAGGGAATTGTTTTGTAAAACTTAAAAATTTTCAATAAAAAAAAAATATTAGCATACCTTTCTGAAAAACAAGTTCTAGCTTGGGGAAATGGCTCTGTCTAATCTTCACAGATTAGGAACTCTGCTCTTGTCAGAGCCAACAGTGTGTTAGATGTACTGGTTGACCCATATCTGGATGCATTAAGTAGAAAAATGCATATGAAAGCAAGAAAAGCATTTAGGAAGGAAGGTGATGTGGAAGTAGGAAGGATATGATCTGAGAGGCCCAGCCAAGGATTCAATCTCTGACAGGCTTTGAAGGAGGAAAGAGAGTTGAAGTAATCAGAAGGAAAATTCTGGTTCTAGTCCTTTATTTGGAACACGAAGATTTTGGAGCAACAGAAACGTGTGAGCACAACACGCATATCTTAGGTTCAGGACGACTACCACCAGTGTTGAAATCACGGGACTCTACACGTAACTTACCGAGAGGATTCTTGCTTGTAGATATCAATTATGTTCTCCACCAAAAGGTTGCGTTGCAGGCCATAAACTCCATGCCGGTCCAGCACGACTTCATGCCGACAGGATGGGCACCGGAATCGGCCTCCTGAGGACACTGAAGTAGATCCACGAGACTGCCACAGGGGGTTGGAGGCCTGGCAAGGACGCGATGAGAAAGTTGGTTTTGCTGAGGTTCAGTATGGCTTACTTACCCATTTCTTAAAAGTGTGGCTCTGCTAGGAAGCAGTAACAGAAACCCAGGAGAGCATTCTGAACACCAATAACATTCCTCGATCCCAGGACAGGTCATGCAAATAGGTCCTCCACCATCTACTATTACAAGAGTTGGCAACTGCAGAGATCACTGCTATAGGCAGACATTGGCAAAGGATTATTCTCAGCTATCCCCTGGCCTGAGTCCCACTTGTCAGAGTAAGTCACCATACATACAGCACGGTAACTCATTCTCCAACTCACATGTGAGTTCTAGGATATATTCAGACAGTTGAATGATGGTCTAGTGACTAAGAAGTGCAAAAGCTAAATGGGACAACCTCACTCCTCCAACAGGGTCTTACAAATTTGGTATAAGATGTGGCCACTTGAAGAGAGAGCTCCTTTGATTGATAAATAAATAAAATAAATATCTAAATTAGATAACATCCCATCTCTTCCCTGTGGGCACTTTGCTCCCTCCCTCTTCATCCTGGTCACTTTAATTTTAGCTGAATTTTAAATTTAAGATATCTATTTATTGTTTTAATGTTTTACATGGCATTTTTATTCAGTGACTGCAAGCTGCCTAAAATCATCTTTGGTGAGATGGGCAGCACATAAGTAAAATAATAAAATGAAATAATAAAATAAAATAATAAAGTAAAGTAAATAATAAAATTAAAATAAAATAGAACATCCTGAGAAATATTTTAATACAATTTTTAATTTATTTGTTTTTTATATTTTAGCTTTTGAAGAAATGTAATAAATTGTATTTTTTAAAAAAGAAAATCCTAGTCTGAAAATCACAACTGTTGTTGTTTACACTGAAAACTCTTGGATGCCATACAAGGCCTTCAGGGGTCAGTTGGCTTCAGTAGACTCTCCTGCTCCAATACTAGAGCAAATAGCATCGAAATTTGAGCCAAGAAGCAGAACAAAAGCACTGATTTGTCAATTTGAGGTCTGAAAGAAATTCTTTTGGGTAAAATACATAAGACACCATTTAATTCAAAGGAACAAATTAATACATTTTCCTTCTGAGGGAAAGATACTGAAAGAGTGCTGTAGAACTTTCTTCTGGGCAATATGCAGTTCTATCTTTTTTTTATAAATTAATGTGTTGAGGGCCTATTTAAGTGCATGGAAATCTTGGGTGGATTTTCCTTACTTGTGAATGCTATACCAGAACTACACAATGTAGTTAAAAGTGTCCCATATATTCAATTTTCCCTTGTTACATTAAAAAAGGAACATTCAGAAAGTCTTTGCAGGAGGCCTAGAGTTTGAACGAGGAACAACGGTCATCAAAGCAGACCTTTACACAAAATGAGAAGGAACTAGAGAAAGTAGAATTCTGATTCAAAGAGATATCGCATACACGAGGAATTAAGGTCCCAACCAACAGAGTGAAATTCGACAGATCTTTACATGCAAAGGAATAAAGTCATAAGAAAATGGGGATTTAGTTTGGTAAAAGTACCAAAGATGAGTAGTAAAGTCTCATAGCTGCTTAAAAAAAAATGCTTTAAATTAAGATTATTGTCTCCAGATCACAGACCAGTTCTACTTTGCTCTGCACTACTCAATCCATGTCGCTTGGGATACATTTCAAGCAAAAGGCAGCATATTTGAATAGGTTAAAAACAGAGACAGGAAGCAAATAAAATTAAAAAGCTAGCACTGTTTCCTGCAACACACTGGATTCTTACATGGTTTATTTGTGGAGTGAACTCAACAAAAGTGAAAAATTTTACACAATATATTTTATTTGTGGCCTCTAGGTGGCACCAGTCATGCACAGATTATTCTTCCTCGCAAAGAAGTAGCCTTACTCTCATTCTAATTAACACCACTTCTTTCCTTCTTATTTTTGTAAAAGTGCAAAACATGCACTTTTGTTAGTTTTGTTAAAGTCATTTTGTTTAGTGAATTTAAAGACTATATCTTGGTGTCTTGCCTTTAGATATGGTCTAGGCTCTAGATTGCTTAGTTTTCTCACAAAGGGATTTAATTCTTTAGCCTTAAAGGGATCCCACAATTCAGGTGGTGTTGATGGACATGTACACAACAGGTTTTAAAGAATCAAGATTTAGATTTTCTAGAATTTGTCCATAGAGATACAAAATCCTAGCAATGGTGGTAAGGGTGGCTTTTCCTCATTAGGATCTGGCCATAAACAATGCCAGGTAACCTCTTTTTCTGTTGTGTCCCCATAATGTGGCTTTCATCTCATACACCACCCATAGTCAAGGCAGATTTAAATTGTTGTTTTCTGCTTAAAGTAGAGTGTTCCCTTTTAAGTAAGGAAGAAAAGTCCTGGCTGTTTTACTGTGGATACAATTGACTTGCAACCACAATTGGGACAGTGATTGTTAAGTGAGAATACCCAATTTTATCACTCATTTTGCCATGGTTATTAAGCAAATCACTGTAGTTGTTAAGTGAATTGCATGGTCATTAAGCAAATCCAGCTTCCCCTATTGACTTTGCTTGTTGGACGTCAACTGAGAAGGTGAGAAATGGCAATCAGATGACCCTGGAGTGCTACAACCGTTATAAATAAAGTTCCAAATTTTGATCACACGACCATTGAGATGTTGCTATGGCATAAGTGCAAGGATTAGTTGTATGTTTTCAGTGATTTGTAACTCTGAACAGTTTCTAAACAAATGTTTGTAAGTTGAGGAATATCTGCATTGCATAAAACTTCCTAAATCTGATTACAAGATGCCTTTACTCCTACTATACACAGCAGCTGAACCTGTTCAGATGGCTCTGGTCTTTATTATTTTTACAAATAATTCAAGACAGCAAATTTGTCCAGCACACCTTCCTTCTTCTATATTCCCCACAACTCTGGGAGATGGGTTGGATCGAGAGAGAATGACTGGCTCTAAGTCACCCAGCTGGGTTTCCTGGCTGAGGCGTGACTTGAACTCAAGACGTCCTGCTTTTGAGCCTGGCACCTTAAAACCACTAGACCAAACTGGCTATAAATTCAACATATCTGTATAAATATAATCAACATGTAACTAAATGAGATCTAAGATGCTTTCTTTGTGTTAAAACTTTCATTTCCCACTTTGTGTTACACTTTCTTTAGATCCTAGCCAAACTGTGTAACAAAACAAATTATAACCACAGCAGCCTCCTATTTAAACAACTCACAAAAATCATCATACACAAATCCTATTTAAATCAGTAGGATATTTTTCCCCATATATGTTACATTTTATAATCCAGCTCTCAAGTTCTATTGCTGTATTCTTTTTCATGTTAGCCATGTGGGTACAGGGTAAATGGGACTATCTCATTGTTACTGGCTCCAGAAGGTGGCAATGTACAGAAAATGCTCTGTAGAAAGAAGCATTTCATTGCATCAATTTCATTCTCCTCACTGATGATACATATAAAGGCAACAGACCTTCCCCCCTTTCAGGCCTGCTGTAATGGCCTTGCCAGGCTGAATGCAAAGTGTCGCCATCGTGTCCCGAAGCTCATAGCTAATCTAGTACACCTCCCATTTTTGGAGTTCCTGCTCAACACAACACACAATGTCCTTCTTATCCCATTTTCCAAACTCTCCCTTAAACTATAAACACACTGGCCTTGATACCTCAGTCCTTTCCCACAAAACAAGATGTAACTGGCACTGCAATACTTCCAAGTTCTCTATTGCTCCTCCATCCCCTTCTCTCATTAGCATTTTTAAGTTTTGGGAGGCAGATATTTCCCTTTATTGATGTTACTCAAGAAATATCATGAATATTAATGGCTATCTATAAGCAGAGAATACATATTACATAATTATCAAAAATTACCCTTCAATCAGAAATGGCTCAGATTTTAGAAAGGCATCACCTAGAACGACCAGAATCCCTTTCATGTTATGCTTATCCAGAGCATTTATTGGGCTTCTTGCTCACCTGAAAGATATCGTTGGCACACTTGCGACAGAGGTTGTGTTGGCAGGGCAGGATGACCACTGGTTTGGTGAACATTTCCAAACAGATGGGGCAGATAAGTTGCTTCTCCAGGCTATCCATGCTCTGTGAAGTCCCCAGCATCGGCTTGAAGCCCACGGCAAAGTTCATCCCCGCAGCACCAATTCTTGCCCACAGCACACTCCAATAGGCTGGATGGATGACCCCCCTCAGCTTTCCCTAAGTCCCAATGCCTGCTTTTCCAGTCTTTGCTCCCTCTGCCTTGTTCTGCCTGCCTGCTCCAGCTCCCCTGCTTTGGCAGTGCTGGCCTCTTTTCTGGCTTTTACACCTTGGTCTCTTCCTGTTTTATTTCCACTTGGGAAATTTCCCTCTGTTCACCAAGCTTGCTTCTTGTCTTCTAGTGTGCTGTCCAGATCTTGAATTCTTTCTGACATCATTCCATGTCCTGAGCCTACAAGGCTATTCTTAGTAGGTCACGTGACCCCAATGGAATCCCAGCTGCCATTTTTGTCTCAGTAAATGGTGCGGGGGCAAAGCAACAGCTGTCAACGAGATCAGGTGACACTTAGTCACTATTCCACAACAAGCGATGATACCTTCAAAAGATGGCTGGCAGACTGAGGGGGGGGGAGCAACCAGTAGCATACTCCTATGCTATATCCAAAACAGTAAGATTCAAGTATTGCTGGGGAAAAGAATTAAATCTTTTGGATAAAAATAAAGATCTTCCACTAAAGTATAACTGGATGTTATGTAACTGACTGGGATCAGATAATAATTCAAATTGCAAGCATCTACTAAGGAATAAAATAAATTCTCTTATTTGCATTACTTCAGACAGGTTTCATGAAATACTACAAGCTGAGTTTGCAATTATGAAATTAAGGAATGCTGTGAAAATATGCTCAGTCTCTTTTTTTGCAAGTGCAATTAAGCTGTTGGCTCCTGGTTTGATTGTACTTGACACATTAAGCAGCATACTTTTCTCAACATTCAAAATCAATCAACAAAATATTAAAGGGAAACATATAAAATTGCAATAGACTTAAAGATAACCTTCATAAATACTTTGCAAAAAAACCAAGTCTTGCAACTATAAATTTAAACCAATTTATAGCCATTAGCCCAGGACACTTAAAAAGCCACCACTTTGAATCGCACCAACTAGTCTTAACAATGTAAGTATCTAAATCAGCCTTGCAGATCCTGGAGCCTTCTAAATAGGATTTCTGGAAGTTGAAATCCAGATCTGGATGGTTCCCAACTGGGGTTGGAGCGAGAAGGCTGATTAAAAATATTTGGGATCTTTGGGATAAAGAAACAGAAATCAATATTGTTGTGTTCTTACTCATTAAAATGGATACTTCGTAGTTTGGGAGGAAAGTATTCTCTGCTAATTACACAATAGTTTTAAGCCTCTTTATTTGAATAAACTTTTTACTGGAAAATTATGTAGAAATTCAGGCTATATATTGCAAGTTATATTTCCCAATGTTTTTATTACTAATTGGCTTAAATGTAAGCTGACTTCACTTGTATAGCCTGATGGGTGGACGGAATAAACATTTGAGTAATTATGTATAGTATAGGAAATTTTATTTTTTTATAGGTTCTTTCTTTTTTCTGCATATTTTTTTAAAAAAATCATTAACACTTATAGAAATATTTGTTAACTGCCTTAGGTTGACACAGATCATTTCCATCCATTCTTGTCTCTTCAAATGGATCACAGTTCTCCAGGATTTTAGTTTTCCAGCCCTGCTACTTATTATCCTTTCAAATGAAATGCCAAAAGATGAATTTGGTAGCTTCTGCAGGAAAAGCACTCATCACTGACTGAATTCACCCTATTGAAATGCTACATGAGATCAGAATACTTGGAAAGGCTTCTTAGAAAAGATTTGTATGGACTTAGTGCAGTAGCTAAAAGGCTTTTAGCTTACAATAGAAACAGAATATTTTATCACTGATGTCCAGGACAAAACAAAAATTACCAATGATCACTATTAAAAAATATACCATATTGGTGCAATGGACAGAGCCTGCGATATGCTTGGGATATGCAAGAAAAAGCTAGAAAATTTTGCATTAAAATACACACACTGATTAAGATCATTTTAAAAGATTAATATACAATTAAACCCAGCAATTTTTCTTTTGGACAAAGAGTTGGAAAAGTAATGGAACTTTTTATATGCATAAAGATTATTGTATGCATAAAGATGGAAGGATTCAGCATTATCCCCAATGGAGGAATGCTGGTAAAAATGATGAAACTTGCTGAGAAGGCTAAATTCATTTCTTTGGTTAAGGAAAAAATAGTATCTACATTTATTGCTAACTGGAAATCCCTTACAGACATTTTGCATGAAATAGAAAACATGGACATGATGTATGGTTTTGATGATTAAACAGGATATAGAAAGAAGAGAGGGAAGTTGTAACCACAGAATAAAGTTCTAATTGTTGTAAAAAAAATTGGAAGCTATTGCTTTATATTTTTCTGTTTTTCTTTCTTGCACCTTTCTTTGATTTCTTTTTCTTTATATTATTTTGTATTAGTTTTTTATATTCTTTAAAAATCTTTAATAAAATTATATATAAAAGGAAACATTCTTCACAGTAGCTTGGACCTAAACCTGATTCTTAAAGCAAAAATATGTATTTGATTAGTCCTTACTGAGCCATATATTATTCTTCCAACTGTGGAGAATAGTCACTTCTTAATACTTACTTTTCTGCTAAAGCAGGGAGGAGATATAGCCAAATTAGTACCAAAGTAATCATTCTTAAGCCATATAATACTATTAAGACTGAATAGACTATGCAGTTTTTAGGCAAGGCTAGATCAAGCATGTTAAGTTCTAGAATAGGAAACTTTTGTAATTATTAAAAACATACGATTTCAAAAGTTCATAATTGATACAGATACCCATTTCTTATATTACTCTTGACAATATTCAGCCTCTGCTTCTGTTTTGTTGTCAAACAGTTCATATGATTAAGAAGTTGTAACATTCAGATACATTCTTTGGGGTAGGGTTTCTCAACTTGTCTGTTCCAAAATGTGCGTAATTCTGGGAGCTGAAGTTCACATATCTTAAAGTTGCCAAGGTTGAGAAACACTGCTCTCAGGCAACGAAACAACAAATTAACTCCATCACCTATGTGACAGTCCTTTAAAAACCTGAAGTATTTAAAATATAAAAGATGACTATAGCAAACCAAGTCAGACATGGAAGACTGGAAGTCAAGCCTTCCCTCAGAAGCCTTAATCTTTACATGCTGATACTGGCTTACATATGGTAGCTCCTGCTGCCATTATTTATCTGTTGTGGGCACCTTATTCCACCCCAATGTGTGCGAGAAAGGGCCCTCACAACCTGTGTTGTCTAATGACAAAAGATCAAAAAGCAAAAAAGCAAATTTCTATAGTATCACTTCCTGATCTTATAGCTGATGACCATTCCCACCAGTTATATACATTTTGATCTATATGTATTTCTTGTAGATTTGATTTAGCACTCTTGATAATTTAAATATCAATATTTAAATATGGTTTTAAATATTGATTCTGTTTTCCAAGGTACTCTCAACATTTATTCCTTTCTAAGGCCTAGAGTTATTTATAAAAATGCTGAATAGGATAGATTATATCAGAACTCTGACGTACGTCACACATTCCCATCCAAGTTAATGTGCAAATTAAATATTCATTGTTGGTATGGTTGCAAGGCCAGATATTGAGCCTTAAATAGCATAATCTAGCCCACAAATATATAAACAATAGTAATTTATTTCTTGCCTTGTTCTACTAAAAAATTCAGCATATAGAGAAAACTAGGATGCCTCTGAAAGGCCAAGGAGAGATTGCATGGAAAATACATAAGACCTATCCCAATACTCCCAGGAAGGAAGGAATACATCCTAAGGAAACATGAACAAAAAAAAAAAAAAACAGCTCTTTCCTTCAGAAATATTTAATTGTGCTGATAAAATCCTAACATATTTTTTATCACAGTGTGAAAAATGCCCTTGCCCAGTACTGCCCCATAGAAAAGGATTCGGGGCAGCTCAAGAGGCAGGATGCTACACAGCAACTAAAGCTCTCTGGAGCAGCAGTTCATCACGGGAGATGATGAGTGATACCAATTTACCAGACAGGCATTCCAAATCCTGCCATGTTTCACACTACACCCTGAAATGCAGCTTGGCACCAACGCATAGGTCAGAAAGGGCAGTTCCAGTTACTAGGGGACAGCCCTAGCAGGGCAGTTGGCCTCTCTGGCACTGGGAGGCGGGGAGCTCAATATCCCCTCCTCCATCATGAGTTGGGCTTTGACAAGGGCACAGTATAGCTGGCTAAAAAAAAAATAAAAAAAATACCAAGATTGGAAGGAGAAAGAATGACTGGGGCAAAGACTGCTGGGCTGGCAACATTCATCCATTTTCTTTTCCTCCACTGCTGTGGGAAAGAAAGAACCATTCTGCTGCAGGAGAAGGGGCTGTTCCTTGGGCCCAAAGAGGCAGAGCTAAAGTGTCTCTCTTTCCTTCAAACCAGCCCCTTGCAAGGTCTGAGTATGCCCGTGGCCATGTTCCCTGAGAAGATTTATGACTCTGAAGCAGGCATTCAGGCACCCTCACCAAAGTCACTGCACAGCATCACAACTGGAGAGGGAGCTCTTTGTCCAGAGTCCAAATGATTGGTAATTCAGGCCTGGGCAGGGTATCTCTGGAATGGCTGCAGGAATAGGAACTGTGCTGTGCCTGGAAACTGAACTCTATTGGAGGGAAAGGGAAAGTGAGGTTAGAAAAGGAGGAGCAAGATACAAAGCTTTAAAACAAGTTTGCCTACTAGAAATGGACAGATGTTTGTATTAGCAAATGTCTACTGTTGATCTGTGCACAGCATTCAGGATCTGGAGAAAAGGATGTCTCTCCTTTTTCTGAATAGTCTCTTCCAGTGCTAACCAGTGGACCCATCACTAAAATAGATGAGACTGAGAGGAAGCCAAAGCAACTACAGATACATAAAATAAGACAATTGTTCAGGGTGGCCTTAGCATTAGAGATTTATCTGGAGTAGCATTTTCAGCTAAGCAGGTATCGATATTGCTACTAATGCAGAATGACTGCATCTGCTGAAGGTATTCTTGGCCATGACTCCCTTGTCTTCTACTTCGCCCATCTCCACATTCAGTCATCTGCATCAATCATCCAGATAAATCTCAGGCATGTAACTATCACTTTGTGAATTGGGCAACAACTAGCCAACTCAATTTAGCCACATGCCCTTTGCTTGGCAAGGAATTTGTTCCCTGAATGTGTAATAGCAAGCCCAGTCATTACAACAGTAAGTTTCTGAGTGTGTATCCTCAGATTGTAGTATTAGTACAGAAAGCAGCAGCATTCCATTCCACAGCAGATTTTAACCCACCAGCCCTTCCATAGACCAGCAATATTCTGTAAAAACCTTGTCCTTGCTGAAAAAGATCTTAGATCTAGCCAAGGGTGTGTTACATTTCAGAAAACAAAGGGGATTCCATTCAAGGGACTGCTGCACAGTAGGATATGGTCAGGAAAAGGGCCACAAACTCCAGCAGCACAAAGCTTCTTTTAGACCCGTCTGAATCCAGACACCAGCTGTCAAAAGTCTCCTGTAGCTTCCCTGTGATTTTCCCACCACACACCAGAGATCTCGCCCTGCTTACAAGGTCATGGCTTGCGGGACTGATTCTCATCTGTAGTGTGCAATGTTGCATTTGCTGTTGGCTGCATTTGGATAGCATCGCCACCTAGAGAAGACACACAGTATATCACGTCCATTAGCAGCAGTTTCATCTATTTGAAGCAGAGGAACAGGGGGAAAACACAACTCTCAATATTCCAAAACAGTAATTATTTGTCTATGCCCTAGACCTGAGATTGGCTGCCTTACAGGGGGAGGGGAGAGGGTCTAAACTTAATAGGTCGTGGGGGGGGGGGGTTGAGGGTCTTAGCTTTCAGGTTATTATCGTCTGGAACATTCACATTACTGTACACGTGATACAAAAACCGTAAGAGATAAAAATATGAAATATAAGCATATGCCTAGATTGCAGATAAAAAAAACCTGCTTCATTTGTCACAGCCAGGAAATCAGCAAAGTCTCCGTTATAGGCTTTATTTTGGCACTGTCACTATATTGGATAGATTGTTTTTTGGCATCACAATCATAATTTGTTGATGGTATTTTACTCCACTTATAGAGGGCATCACACATCTATCATAGCCAGTGCGCATTTGGTTCAGTGTGTCCATATTACATGATTTCAAGTTGACTAAAGCAATGGATGCAATCAAATCGCACATGGGATTTTATTATAGTTTTTGTGAGGACCCTCAGGCTCTTCTGTTTTTAAAAAACTGTATTAGGCTTATGTTAAGATTAGTGTGTGCAAGTTCCATTGGCTCAAGGACTATGCTAAATTCTTTGCATTTCTTAAAGGGTGAAATGCTGCACACTTCTGCTTTTTTTAGCTCCCTTAAATTCTCCAAATTCCAAAAATCATTGAATCACACAGTTGTGGATTTTAAAGAGATCACATGAATCATCTAGTCCAACCCTGTGCTATGTGTAGGAAAACCAATTAAACTATATTTGAGAGATGACTATCCAGCCTTTTCTTAAATATCTTCAGGGATGGCAAACCCACAATGTCAGTAGCCAGATTGTTGTACTGTTGTATAGATTTATCCCCCCCAGGAGCCCCCAGGATTTCTTTAAGTAAAAAATAATATTTATCAAAACATTCTGAGGAAATGTAAAAAGTATGAGCAAACCATGAGGGTTTACACTGCATTTGTTACACATCTGTCTGAATGCAGATATTTTTTTGTGTATTTCCTGTTCAAATCACTGGAAAATTGTTTGGGTTAGCATTGTATGCCACTTTCAATCATAAGAAACATAGTCTGTGTGGAATATTTCCCATTTTTCCTATTAGATCAGAAACCACAGAAAAACCAGCAGAAAAAGATTATTAATTTGTTCCTATTATTAATTGAAGAAGCTAAATAATTTGTTGTTAATAAGCAGCCAGCTAATTACTTGATCTCCTGGAGATCAGAAGCTAGCAAGAAGTCAGCACTTGCAAGAGATCTCTGGAAGACAGGAAATGAGGGAACAAAAGGGCAGAACTCATGTGAACATGTTCTGTGCATGTGAAGTGACATACAGGGTGCATCTGACATATCCTAGAAAGAGGTGCATATGCCAAAACCTCCACCAGCATTTCCCTTGGCTCTGGAGGGTCAGCAAGTGCACAAAACTGAACTCCATCCTTATCCCAGTGTTTGCCCTAACAATCTCACCATTATCTTCTGCACGGATCTGGGCCTCCAGGTCTTCAGGATTGACATACTTGTAGGACTCATCATCTTCAGGTGGGCGGCATTTCCCACAACAGAAACAGCAGCAGCAGCAACAACAGCAACATGTAAAGATGCCACAACATGCTACTAATGTCTGGAGAAACAGTACAAATGATAAAATTAGCTTCCTCTTAAGAATAGTCAATAACAAACACTGTCACAGCAAAAGCTGGTTTCTGGAGAAAAGAAAAAAAACCCTGTCTGTTCCTCTTCCGTGAGCCACCTACCTTGAACCAACACTTGGACATGAGGAAGTAATACTTCACACTTTCTTCCCCAAACTGCTCAGACACATAGAGTCCCATGGAGCCGTATTCATCATAGAGACGCCTCTTGTTCTCATCACTGAGAATTATATTGGCGTTATTGATCTCCTTGAACTTCTCTGCTGCTTCTGGATTATCAGGATTCTTATCTGGGTGATATTTCAAAGCCAGTTTCCTGGGGAGAAAGGTGTGGGTTTACATATTTAAGTCACATCAGCAAACATCCTCCATAGTGTTAATAGATTATGAGCCCTCAAAGCTCAGGGAAGTCAACAGCTCCTTCTATAGCAGCGGTTCTCAACCTATGGGTCGGGACCCCATTTGGGGTCGATTGACCATTTAACGGGGGTCGCCAAGCAAGACTGTCCGCCATTTTTTCCCCCTTTTCCAGCGGGTGCCTTACCTCCCTTGGGCTGGGCCAGCTGGTGGCCCAGCTGGTGGTCGGCCTGCTCCATCTCTGTCGCTTGCCAGCTACGTCTCGGCCAGCGCAGGGGGCAGCACCATGCATGCGTGGCGTTCTTGGGCAGGGAAAGTCCTCAACTTACAATCGGTTGGGTAGTCCTTGACTTACGACCGGTTTAGTCCTCGACTTACGACCGGTTGGGGGGTCGCAGCATTAAAAAGGTTGAGAACCATTGTTCTATAGTAAGAGCTATTGACTGGGCTCAGTCTCTCCTTCTGTCTCCCAGTCACAGAAAGAGGCTCTAGACAAATGGCTTAGGAAAAAGCATCATGGGCAAAAGCAGAGTTCTCAAATACCATCACTTGACAGGGTCTCTCAGTTTTAGCAACTTGATCTTCCATCTGGACCACTGCAATGTCCTCAACATGGGGCTGCTCTTGAAGAACATTTGGAGGCTTCAAGTGGTGCAGAATGCAGCAGCACAAGTTATTCTGTGCATTCAACATCTACTTTCTACGAGATGCATCGGCTGCCAGTGTGGTTTTTGGTGCAATACTTAAGAGGGATGAGGAAAGATTCCATAAGGGTGCCGTGGCAGAGAAGGCCTGTAGTTCTCTAATAGACAGGACCTGTGGCATGTCTTCTCTTCAAATCTGATGGAATAGACCAGTGGTTCTCAACCTGTGGGTCGGGACCCCATTTGGGGTCGAATGACCATTTCACGGGGGTCGCCAAACCACGCTGTCCGCCATTTTTTTCCTTTTCCCTAGCTGTCTTACTCCCTCTTATTGGTGGCCACACCCACTTGGGGGTCACCACAACATGGGGAACTGTATTATGGGGTCATGGCATTAGAAAGGTTGAGAATCACTGGAATAGACAGAGGTGATCAGGGAGAGGCAGTCCCTCAGATATTTCACTCCCATGCCATGAAGTGATTTAAAGGTTAAAATCAGCACCTTGAATTGGACTCGGAAGTAAACTGGCAACCAACACAGCTTGGAGAGCAAAGGTATATAAAATGTGCCGTTCTAGGGATACAGATAATTGCTGGTGCTGCTGTATTTTGCATCGTCATACAGTTGATACCCCAGGACTGCTAGATGAAAGGCTACTCTGCATAAGCCCAGCCTGTAGAATAATTTAACGTGTTCCAAAGTGTAATCCTTAATAACAGAATAGCAGAAAATGCATTTTCTGAATCCCAGAAACTTGATTTCTGTTTTAACACCTTAACCAAAGGTACGCTAGTCAATTCTGTAAATATATCCACAAACTTTAGCAATGCTAGCCTGCTAAGGGGTTATCAGAGACCTCTGATGTTAGGTGATAAATGATCCCCTGCTTGGCTTCTTTCTAGGGCACAGAAGGAGGCAAAGCATTCTGTATCTCTGTTTGTGTACAATCTGTTTATTGTTTTATATGAAGTTTCTGGTTGCCTCCAACTATCACAAGAACCAAAGCAGGGGGACTCCTGTGAAGTCAAACATCTTGGAAATAGGGAAAGCTAACTTAAAATCCAATCCGAGAACGACAGAATAGGTACCCAACCTGTATGCTTTCTTGATGTCTTCTGGGGAAGCACCCTTTTCCAAGCCCAGGATGTGATATAAGCTCTCTCCAGCCCGTGACATCTTCCTCTGTGGCCGGCCTCCTTCCGCCATCTTGTTCTAAATTAAGCAGCAATACAAAGGGCTGAGCTATAGCACAAAAAGAAGAGGAAGTCATTGCAGAAGAGAGTAAATGCCTATAGATCAGAATGTCTGTTGCTACACAGGGGTGCAGATAACCCCTGCTCCACATCCCACTGTGAAGGAAGCAGAATCTGGGTAGTATTCAGGGAACGCATCTTGTGCTGTGGAAAACTCTTGCTCGTGTCCTTTGCTTGAGGATTATATCTTAGTCTGCTAAAAGGATGAGATAAGAAACCTTATGTAACAGATCCTAATTCTGTGGCCCTTAGTAAACTGTCCTGGTATGAGGAGAAAAAACAGGGGAGGGGCCAAATAAACAGATACCTTTTATTCATCAGAAAGTGAAGAAAAATATGAAGCAATGACACCACCATGCCAGGTTTTGCCCTGCTGTTTGTATAAAGCAATGCAGGCCAATAGGATGGAGGACGGGTTTTGCCCTCCGTCTTTGGTAAATAATTTGCCTTGAGCCACAGAACTTATGCACGTTGAGTCCCATTTCATTCAGCTATAAGAACAGAAACCTTCAACTCCTTGCCTAATCCTCAAATAAGGCTTCAGCTCTTCTTGGTGCGTTGAGGCTGCCTATTCATGGAATCAGATGACAAAACTGGGCAAGATTCAGTTTTGCTTCTAGCCTTGGTCTTCTGCCTCAGTTGAACTGGCTCAATGGAGAAAATAATGACATGGCCATCTGGGTCAACAGAAGCAGCTGATCCGATTTATGGCAATGGTTATTATTTGGAGCCAAAATGGATATTATTTGTTAACACTGCAGGTCAGTGGCTCAGCTTTTCTCCAAGTACTATGTTGCAGATTTACCTATTTTAAGTCAGGATTTTTCTCTAAGCCCAGCCTCCCGCTTAGTACACAGCAAGACCCTCCTGTTGTGCTACCAGGGAGCAAAGTTAAGACAGCCTGAGCAGGCTCTGCAAGACTGAATGTCTTAGTCAGATTAATCCCCCAAAGGCTGAGTCATTTCATTTGAAATGCCAATGGAATGAGGCTGTCCTGCACCAGGCAGAGGTTGGGTGAATTTTCTGCAGTAACCAACACTGAACTCTACTAGTAGTTCCTGGCCAAAAGGACAGTAAACAGTGAGTGTTTGTTGAATAGAAGTTAAGGAAAGTAAGATCCTATTATTTAACTTCCCAAGCAAGGGTTGCAGTATATATGTCTAGCAACTTTCAAAACATTTTGCTAGTTGCCTTGTTAATCAGTATTTATTTGTAAGCTGCTTGTTTCCTTTAATTTATGGGCCACAAAATATTTATTCATAGGCAGAAATCCATTTAACTATGGTAACTGAACAGAAAGGCTCTGGAAAAAAGGTATCCTTTCTTCTTCAAACCAAAGTTAGAGTCAACCTTATAAAATGTTGATGCTCGGTTCCAAAAGCTTGTGGAGAGATAAATTCAAGATCTGCAGGTTACAAACTTTCCAGTTGATTTCATTTTCCAGAACAGCTCCAGTTTCAAAACAGAGAAGGAAAAGTACATCTTTAGGCCCATCCTGTGTGTGTGTGTGTTCAACTTCAAGAGTTTACTTTATCTTAACAACACAACAACAAAAGACACAGCACAACTCAAATTGCTCCGTCACCACAAACAAAAACACAACTAGCAACGTGAGAAGGAATGCAGTGTTTTGGGGGCTTTAGTGTGTCCTGAACAGATACAATCAACCCTGTCACTTCAGGGGCTTTAAATGACATTATCAAGATAAAGTCAAGATGAAATCATCCTCATCCTACTGCACGAGATCTCCACATAGGGTTATGGAACTTTCTTCTTTCTTCCTTTTTCTCCCCCTCCTCCTCCCCCTCCTTCTCCTCCTCTTTAATTCAGAAGCAAAGTCAATGTACAGTAAACCTTATTGCCACCTACTATATATATATATGTATGTATGTATGTATGTATGTATGTATATGTTATTTCTCTAAAGGCTAAACTTCAATAACAATTCAAGAGTCTTATTTTTGCATTCTGCATCCAAAAATATTTCCTGCCTCCTGCTATACAATTCGCATTTATTCCTGGAGAAGGCCCTGCCTATTCAGGTAATAAAATAATTTGATTTCTGAATTGTCTGAATTGCAAACTTAAAGTTTCTAGCATCTAAACAAATAATAGCAAGTGCTCACTACATGGGATTCTGTATATCACATTTCCCAAAACCACTCCATTCTCAATATTAATCACAGATTTTTTAAATCCAAAACTGACAAACAACAACCTCTCTACAAGGTATTTTCTTCCATTATTCCCTGAATAAGTTTACAAAGAACAGAAATAAGCGCAATCTTCTATTATCTAAATAATGCCCAATTTACCTAATACTATTATTACATTTCATAGCTGAATTTCTTAAAGGGTCAAATTAACACAAAACAAAACATTTTGTTATCAGCCCTCCTTAGTCTGATAAGAAAAGAGGATGCACCAAACCAGCTGAATCCTTATTTCCTTTCTTGCTGGCACTACCCAAAGGAATCAGACATTCCATGATTAACCTGCTTGTTCTAGATATCCCAAATTGATTAGTTATTATGCAGCCTTTATAATTAAACTGTGATTAGCTTCTAAATTGTAATTACAGCCTGGAAAGGTTTATCCATTATATTGATAAAAATATGCAAAGTTCCCTATTTGCTACATTGACTCCATAGAATGCTCCAATATTTGGATAGCAAAATAGGCAATGGCTTGACTCATAAGAAGTTGAAAATAGATGAGCTATAAAACTGTTGTTCTTAAAATAAATTATACAGCAATGGAAGGTCTCTGGTGCCTATTCCTCCTGGACAACCTGCTTCTTGGCTCATTCTCCATGTCAAAAACTATTTAAAGTATGGTCCAGGGCATAATTTATGGTACAATTTTTCATACTTATGTTCCGTGGCAATTCCATTAGAAGACTAAGGTTAAAAAAACGTTTACTGAAACAGCCAATTTTCTATCAATTTTCTATCTATTTGTTTCTTGATCAGGAGTTCTGGGAATTTTTTTCAAAACAGGTTCTCCAACCTAAAAAGAGTTTTGGAATACCCCTGATTTACCAGATTCTATACTTCTGCCACCTGGATATCTTAAACTTCCTTGTTTCCAGCTTCATTAACTTTTCACATCCGATTCCTGTTTTTATGCTCTGACAGGTCTCTCTCTTCCTTGCATGGCACCATTTAATTTTCACAATATCTGACATGTTAAATACATTCTTTTAGTGCCAAATTATTGGTATAGAAATCAAATACATACATACATACATAGACATATATTCCCCATTTTTGCTTTCGTCAGCCATAGGTGCGAAAACCAGCCGCCCTTCATTCTTTTTGAGAATCTATCCCCATAATTCCCCATCCTTCTACAAACCTGAATTTCTTCGGTTTCGCCCTGGATCCGTTTCTCCTCCCTCCTCAGTCGTGTCCTTTCAAAGTCCACTGTTACCTTTTACCTACAGTATAGAAACCGCTGCCGTCACTCCTTCGTACAGCGCTCGCTTAATCTCTTGGGCCTAACAGTTTACTTTCAGAAAATCCTATTATTTCCGCCCGTCAATCCTACCGATTTAATGAGAGTTTGCAACTCCCTAAACTGCACGGCGCGCGTCTCGCGGCGGACAAGGAAAAAAACAACAGCTCCTCCCTCACGGAGACTCAGATAGGCCAAAGAGCAAAACCGCAGGACGCTCAAGCGCAGAAGGTCTCCCTCCGCCACTCGCCGCTTACCCCCAGACCGGCCCTCAAGCCCACCTACCGCTGCTCGTTTGTTCCACTCACAGAAAGTGACCGGCCGACCGGCCTCCAGGGTGCTCACTGCGCAAACGCGGAAGTGTTTAGATTAGAGAACTGCAACTTGTGAGTTTGCGCGGCGGGAAGAATCCGCTGGAGTTCATATCGAAGAGTTCGGTAAGAAGCTTTGACAGTCCACGAATATCTGAGGTCTTTTGAGATCTTTCTTCCTTCCTGAAATGGAGAGGGAGAAAGAGAGAGAGACAGCTGAGACTGCTTTTGGTGGCTTTTGCACTGTTATGAGGTATCATAGGTATTTGATTTTGACTGATCGAGGTGTATGAATTCAACCAATTGTGGTTTATTCAGTCGTGATTAAAATCCTGGTTTAGCATAATGTGAACAATCAAAACTATTCGGATTTGACAAATTGCAATCCAAACGGGGTAAAGTTTCAATTTACTCCAGAGAGCAGCTTCTCTAGATTATAACTTTGTGGGCCTATTTGTAATACTGCAGAATATAGGTAGTCTTACAACAGTTCATTTAGTGGCTGTTTGAAGGTACAAGGCACAGAAAATGACTTATGACCGTTTTTCACACTTACAACTGTTGCAGCATCCCTGTGGTCACGTGATCAAAATTCAGCCACTTGGCAACTGGTTCATATTTATGTGGGCTGCAGTGTCCCAGAGTCATGTGAGTCCCTTTTGTGACCTTCTGACAAGCAGTCAATGGGAAAGCCAGATTTACTTAAAAACTGGATTGCTAACTTAACTGCAGTGATTCACTTAACAACTGTGGCAAAAAAGGTTGTAAATTGGGGCAAAACTCACTTAACCAATTTTTCAGTTAGCAACAGAAATTTTGGGTTCAATTGCAGTCATAAATCGAGGATTGCCTGCACCAACATTTTTACTTTATGTTAGAGATCTCTTATAAGCAAAATAGATCAGTCACAACCCAAAGGAAACAATTATCTGCAATAAATTATAACTGTAAGTATATTGCTTGGTATTAAAGAAAGTAGGGAAATCCTTGAGATCTGCTTGGCTGGCCAGTTTGGAAAACTGGGTAGATTCTTATCCTGTCCATGGAGTTAGGTCTTCTATTAGACAAAGCGGGCCTTTTGGGAGGGCAACACACCCAGGGAAGTCCATTGGGAAGGAGATGGAATGCTGAGGTCATTAACAGTTGGGATTTCTTTACCTTGCAATTCCCTTGTTAAGGGTTATTCCTCGGCTGTACTGCGAGTTGGCGAGGAGGCTTCTATTCTTTGGTTAGATGGGATTGCAGGGAGCTTTTATCTTGGGCAAGGTGGGTCAATTTGCATCTGATGGAATTGGGCAGAATCGGGTTTGACTTTTGTCTTATCCATCTTACCAGTATCACTGAGTTCACAAGGACAAAGGATGGATAATTTGTTCTAGTCACTTTATGGATCTCTTTTTTTTAATATCTTCTTCTTGTGCCATATCCATTATCGGACGTTGGCGATCCTGTTTTTATCAGCAGCCGCACGAAAAAGTGCTGCTGAGTTTTGGGTAGTTCCATCACAAGATTTATCAGTCTCTATAATGTGGTTATGAAGAAGGTGAATACAACTGCCCCCAAGCGGCCTTTCTAACTGCAGATCCTGGAAGGTTCCGTTTTACTGAGCAGCTCTGGGATATATTGAAAGATGATGCATTGAACATTGCTGGCAGAAACTGGAATTTGATTAAACATACATATAGGTATGTTTGTGAAATGCCAGTACTTCTCCATTTACTGCTCTGGTAGAATGCCATCTGATCACATCAAGATATCCCGTGCTTTACTAGAAAAGAATGGGTGGTGACCAATCTCTCTTCAAGATGCTTTGACATTTTTGCATGCTATTTGCTGTCAAAATCACTTGTTTTGGCAGGAACAAGTGGCATAACTGGGACACCTTGTAGAGTTACTTTGGCTTCTTTAGATCTTATGGACAAGATTCTTAGCAGTAACAGCTTTGCTACTGTGGCATGGACCTGTGCTTCTGTTGGCTTTTTCAGGCAGCTGTGTATTGAATTTGAGGTGGTAAATACCTTAGTTTGAAAGGAAGCAAATGCAAGTAAACAAATAGATACCACTTTAGTGGGAAAGTAACAGCATTTCATGTACCTTGGTGTATAGTAGTCATGCCAGCCACATGACCATGGATTCGTCTTCAGACAATGCTGGCTCCCTCAGCTAGGAAATGGAGATTCCTCTAGAGTCAGACACAACTGGACAAGGGAAACCTTTACCTTTTTTTACCTTAAATACCTCAGAGAATTTACTTGTCTTGAGAACAACAGTGGTGAATCCCTCACCCCCTCTCGAAGACACTACCTTTTGCTTTGAAAGTCTCTTTTTTTTGAAGTCATAGAAATTGCATCTGTAAATAATCCTGAAGTGGACTGTCTTGGTCCTTTCCTGATTTGGATAGGGAATTGAAAATATTTGTTGCTCCAATGAATTACCCCTGTCTGGACTTGAATAGAGGATGTTGCCTTTCTGGCACAATTCAATGGCACTTCATACAATGACTTCCTTCTAGACCAAGAAGGTAGGGACTGGGGACATAGTTTTGCAATGGTTTTGCTCCTACTGAACAACAGATCCTGCCAATTCCAATCTAGTAACCAGGTGCTTATCCTCCTCAGTTTACCAAACCTTGGATATAGGCAGCAATGTTAGATGCCATAGAGCTGAGCTCAACGCCTTGTCACTGGACAATAGTACAACACTTCACCTAGGCGCTAATTATAATTTGTAGTTTTTCCAAGATATTCTATAATTCAGTTGTATTGCGTGGTTTAATTTTTATTCTGATACTATGATTCAATTTTTTCCTGAAATTAAACCACTGAGCAAATAAGATGCAAATGACATCTCCATATTTCCCTCTCTTCATCTGAAAGACATCCAACTAAGACATTCCCCATTACAAAAAGATAAAGCCAACTAGCACTGTAATTTTTTATTATGGCATTAAAAAAAAACAAGTCAGCTGAGTACAGTACTGAAAAACATATCAGGACAAGGGAATGCAGGCTGGGGGCTTAATGTTAGGCCAATAGTTACTTTTAGTTTGGAAGGCAAATGTAGCTCTGGCTTTCCCTAATAGTAGTACTGACTTTGGGGGCGTAGAGCACTTACTTCTAGTATGAGGTCTCTTATTGCAACGCTATGGTCCCAAATGCTTGTGCAGTCACAAATTAGGGAGGACAAGTGCAATTTACACACAGCTATCAAGATCACAGGATCCTGAATAAGTCAGCATCAAATTTTTTTATAGAGGAACCCCAGGCCAAAGTGCAGAAGCCTGCTTGCATTGCACTCAGTCAGTCAGGAAACACATATAAAAGGGCACAATAGGTCACTAGGTGAGTGAAAAATCCAATGGATTTGCAGGGATACACTTTCTTACAGCATCCTTGATAGGGGACAAGATGCTGCTGAAGCTAATCAGCACTGAAAGGATGGGAAGCAGTACTACAGTTCTATGTGTGCCCCAATAAATACCAATAAATATGGAGACTGTGAATGGGAAGGTAGCAGCAGCAGAAATGTTTCCATCCCAGTTGGTGTATTATAGCAGGAAGTGCTATCAAAATTGCACCATTGCTGAGCAGTCTAGTAGAGCTTGTAATTATGAAAAGAAAGGACCAAGGCAATAGCATTATGCCCATAGTCAAGCCAAGAAGAAACGCCCAATATTCAAGAAACATAGCCTTGTCCAGCAGAATCAGGTCAGCAATCCATGTCGTCATTCTCATACCAGGGGATAGTGCCATCTGTGCCAAAATAACGGTCTCCAAAGTTACCTAGTAAAACATGAATTACATGCTTGTAATAGATGCAGCTCAGGAACTTCTTTCCGGCCCATGGAAATACCCACAACATTGCATCAAACAATAAGTGTTAATCTTACAAACTACAATGTCCTCACCTAAGACAAAAAAAATATTGTTAAATCAGCTGGTCAAAATCTCTTATCAGAAAATGAATGCTACAGGTAGAAAATGCCTGATCTGTACCACTCAGGCTCACCAAATAGGCCAAAGCAAAACAAAATGTCAGAAAACAACAACTGCTTACCAATGCCAGGAATGATGTGGAATTCCTCATTGACTCTCTTGTCCACAGCAGTGGTGATGATATGTACACGGGGAAAAGCATAAGCCACAGAATGGACTCCCATCTCTGCCATCAGCAGAGACAGTAAGAAGATCCTATCCTCTTGTACATCATGATCCTATGGGATACAGCACTTGTGAGCAGTCTCTATATGATCCTGAGACTCCATCCAGACTGCAGGTAAAATTATTCTGAGTTCTCCGAACTATTTTCAATGACAACTTTAACCATCAATTCCTGTCATGGATTGCAACCCCATTCCATATTAGCTGTATTCATCAGTCTGCCTTGGCTTACCAACATCAACAACAGAAAAATTCCAACCAAACAACCACTCATCTCATATTACTGGGCTTCAACATACCAGCAACACCCGAATAGCCATCATGGCAGCAGCTCCAGTGGACACAGTGCTGTCCATCAGGATGACGTAGTCTTCACTGATCTCTTTGGGCAGCCGGAGATAATGCAGCTGGCAAGAGCAGAAAAGATGTAAGAAAAATAATCTTATCCACAACTCAGCCCCATCTCAAAATTAACTCCCTCCCTTCCAAAAGATCCAATTCCCCTTTTCACCTCAGGTTCGCCTGTGTCATGATTGGTTTGGATGAGAATCTTTCCTAAGCGGATATCTTTGCAGACAGCTATAAGAGCCTGCTCCATGGTCTCGCCTGCTCTCAGGATGGAGACTCCAGTGATCTATAAAAGGGGAAAACAGTTTTCTTCCAAGATCCTTGTCAATACGCAATCATTTAAATCTATTGCTCTGTATTTGTAACAGTGACAGAGGGCTTGACTGCATGAAGAAAATCCCAGCTGCATCTCCAGCAGCTACTAAGCAAAGTAGACCTTTCTCAACAAGACTGCTGAAAGGCCTATTCTGTAGAAAACAAGACTGATCTTCACCAATTTAATGAAAAGAAGTATTGGGGTGATATGATAGTGGTGCTCCAATATCTAAGGGGCTGCCACGAAGAAAGGGGGTCAACCTATTCTCCAGAGCAACTGAAGGCAGGACAAGAAGCAATTCCTTGAAACTAATCGAGAGAACCAACCTAGACCTAAGGAGAAATTTTATGTCAGTGAGAACAATTAATCAGTGGAATGGCTTGCCTTCAGAAGGTTTTAAAGAAGAGATTGGACAACTATTTT